TACCCGTTTTTCAGGAGGACGGCAACGTGAACGTTATACCAGGCGTTCAAGTTCCAGATACTTGAATGGCACTTTGGCTACGCGTTCCAGATCTAGAACGGCGAGTAACATCCACGGATCTCACCGCAGATGGTGTTCAAACGAAATCTAATCTAAGAGCATTGTCGATTCACTGATACACAGCTGGGTTCAATCTGGTAAACTTTAAAATCCCCAGTTATCCAAATGTAATGCAATTGTTTTGATCTACTGCAACTAAACGCTCTTTCCTTAAGAAGGGATTTCACTTTAGGAATGAATTTTTCAGTTCGCCTACTGGACTAGCGTTTTTTATTCCTTTGTCTGATATTAGTTCATCATGGTCGCATGTAGACGTTGCAACCCTTGACTGCGACCAGAGTTCTCTGTCCCATTCTCCCATTATTATCACTATCCCTGACAACATATAATGCTTCCTTTCTGTCCGTCTCTCATGGCAAAGTAACCGAAGTTCATGTCCGGGTTGTATCCTACTCCTCTGATGGCGAAGAGGACATGTCAGTTGCTGTCCTGGGGGATATTAGGCTAGAAACTCAAGTTGTGGATGCGAGATAGTTGTCCAGAAACCCATCTCGAGCAAAACCTACATTTCTATTGATCGGGAAACCCTTGCTGCAGACGTGAGACAGTTGTCTAGAAACCTGTACTACTGTACCTTGAATATCAGCTGCTTCGCCAACAATAGTAGCTTTTCTTCCTGAATGACTGAATTAAACGAATCGCGTAACTATCATGCGCTGTACCCAAGCTCACGCGATTATCAAGTCGTTCCTGATTGGTAGATCTTACGTCGCGATCACGTTCCTGGGAAAACGGCTGGAAGAGCCCCTCCACGTCTTAGACGTTTTTCTCACGCGTTTTAAAACTGCTGGTGACGTCACCAGTGACGTCAACCGTCCTACATCCCTTGCTGTCCTCTCAAGAACGGGTAACCAAAACTCCCTATTGCCTCGAAGTTGCCTTTTGATTTGTTCTGCTAGCGAGTACTCGCCCATAGTTTGAACTCTTCCATACTCGTAGCGAGTGCTAGCGATTGGAGTGTTACACTAAGCGAGTGGTCTTAGCGAGTACTCGTCAAGGGTAACAGGGCCTTTAGACATGAATGTGACTTTAACGGTTTCTCCTTCGGCTTACGGCCTTTTTAGAATCCGCGGACTACATTAGGAGAAAAGGGGGGGGGGGGGAATAGCTCTTTAGCTTAAAGGCCCCTTTATCTGGTTTAAATGAGGTTTCAGCATTAGGACCATATTCTTTCGCCAGTTATTGCAAGAATAATTTTTTTTGAAGGGTAGGGGGGGGGGAAATGATGTTACCCACGGAAAAGTTCTCAAGGCTGTCTGAAATCGTCTGAGATTGTTTTCGGCGTCATGCTATTGTTGCAAGAGAGACGATATCAGGCTCGTTCTTGCTGATGAGATTAAGATGTGATTATTTCTTCTTTCCCTGCCTCATTTCAACAAAAACGGATCAATGGGCACTTTTGAGGATGAAATTACCAATAAAGAAAATGAGGCATTTCTGCATTGAAATTGTGAAAAAATGCCACATATGCCAATAAAAAGGAAGGAAAGAAAGGCTAAAGGTTGAGCAGAATACTATGTTTTCCTCGAATTTCAAGAATTTGTGAGAAAAAATAGCGACCCCGTCTTTCATTATTTTCGCCAGTAAAATATTGGCACTTATTCGAACAGAGGATGAACGTGTCTGTGTGAACGTCACACAATAGAAGCATACTGGTGGGATTATTTTTTTTATTCGATGGACTCTTTAAAGTGGAACAAAGCTGATAACATTTCGTTGAAACGCTCTCTCTTTTTCCCATCCTTCTTTCTGCGTAAATGCCCTAACAAAATTGCTGAAACCATGCCACTTGAATTCAACAATGCCTTTGGTGTCCAACAATCCGACAGATATCTCGAGCAAACGACTCGTAAGCTCGTCATGATGCCAACACGATGTCAATAAATGACAAGGAGTAATTATAGCATTTTAAATGCAGCCCCGTGTAGTTTCACTGCTGATGCAGAGGGGTGGATAAAGCTGTCGAACACAGAAACCGAATGTAGCTGTTTCTGGCATTTTGTTTTCACTCATATGGCATAATACGCCTAATTATGACGGCGTCAAGCTGGGATGCAGGGCGCAGGTGTGATGAAGCAGACCTCCAACGCCTCCAGTCAGTGACTCAGTGGAATGATAACTGCACTGATGTTGCACCGCCGCAACTAGTGGAATACGCAATCAGCCCTAACGTAAAACATTGCTTCTCCCGACGGCATTTGGAGAACTCAGAAGCAAGCGTCTTCTTTAATTGGCTGGAATCGATTCGCATAAAAGGCTCACCTTGATGGGACGGGTGAATGTGACATCCGGGTGCATTGAAATGCAGGAACCACCCTGTCCTTCCATGTCGAGGATGGCGGATCCGGATGGGTCCACCAGGATCGTCTTCCCGCCCGTTTCCTTCTTCCTCATCTCCCCTGCCCCTTCAACCTCTTCCGGGTCTTTCATCACTCGATGGCAGGGATATCAAAGCTTCAACATACTTCCTCGCATGTAAAATGTGTTCACATTTGAAGGAACCTTCAAGGGTGAGCCATTAAATACAGACCACAAGATGGAAAGGAACTACTTTAAAGTCTTATATTGCTCCCTCTCAGCACTTCAAGAAGGTTCCCCTGGGTTGACTTTTTACTGTTAGACCATGCATTTTAAGGTTTTCTGCTCGTATTACTTGTATGTACAGGGTGGGCCAAAAAAACCTGCACAGTTTTCAACGAAACACTATACGGCACTCACTGCATATATTTTAATTAGGACTGTACCGATGTATCGGCCGCCGGTGTTGGACTATCGGCCACATCGGCCATCGGCAGGTTTGGAACCAGCCGGTGCCGATGTTCAAAGAAGAACGTGCTGAACGAGGAAAAATTTTAAAAATACCACGTGAACGGGGCTCGGTAACCGATTCTCAACGGCAATAGGAAAAAATTAGGGCTATCGCAGTTCATCCATCGATGTATTGATGTCATTTTCGATAGTTGAGGTATGGTAGGTTTTATCACCGCCGCGAAGGTCACACCTCTCCCTCCAATTCCTCGAATCACAGGCGACAGATTATGGAAGGCGGATATAGGTCCACGCCCCGATCGAAGCAAGAAATGGCGGAAACGAGGCAGAAACCTGATCCCGATCGCAGTGAGAAAAGACTGAATCCGCCGACACCCCCACCCCCTGCCAGCATCGATGCACTATCGATGTTTCAGGTCGTTACATTCGAAACACCCAGCGTGGAAGCAATAATAAAATTGAACGTGCATTCATAATATGTCTATTTGACTTTTAAAATATTTTGTCGAATGCTTTTTCGTTGTTTCTCTACACGTCACAATAGGCATCGGCACCGGCACCGGTACTGGCCGATAGGTATAAGAAAATAATCGGCCATCGGCCCACCGACCAAATGTGGCCACCGGTACAGCCCTAATTTTAATGCGGTTTGCGGCATTCAAAAGAGCAATAACTAAGCTTCAAGATGGTGTTCTTACATTTCAAATAGCTTCAACAGTTTCAGAAATTCTGAAACTCATACGAACAACAAACAAATATTGCATTGTTTTTGGAGCAGAGGGGACGGAAAGGCAGCGGCTGAAGATCACATGCCGTCTGCTTCCGAGTGCGAGGCAACGCATGATGACAATTGACCTGCAACGAATTTATATACAGTACTTGCAAGCTTGTCTTCTATCAACAGGCGGACACCGTTTGCAAAAAGTTCTAAACGCGAGGCAATCGAGTGAAAAAGCGACATGAGTTAAATGCGACCTCGAAAAGTCTTCCTCCTCTAATTCACTCGCTATTGTTTCCTTGGACGCTGCGTCTTCTGTCCTAAGTCTTTTGAATTCGGGCTTTCTGCTTCGTTGCTCGCTTTGTGAAGAATAAGATCGAGCTGTAGGGGAGGTGAATCGTGACTCTTTCTTTGGGGGACGTCGAATGGTGACTAGACGCAATTGCGGGCCTCTTAGTACGTCCATGCAAACACGGATAGTTCGAATACAGTTAAAATACAACAATTTTCAATTGGTTTGAAAAATGAGCTATGTTTTTGCGAGACATTGTGCGATGCAGGAAGTGCAGCGCGACCGAGGGTCCTATCCCCCCGCCTCATGATTCGATTCCCATACTTTTGAGAAGGAAGTTTGGATAACTTTCAAATCTCCAGAGTGATAAAAACCAATGCACCATGTCATGTTATCAGAAACATCAGGGGGGACGGGGTGGGAGAGTCTGACCTTGGGTGAAATACACCAGATCTGTTTTGACTAAAACTAATCTGATCTCCCTGAGGAACTGCGAGGGGAGTAAACCTCTCTGTGTATCGTAACACCATCGTCTAAGACTACAACTCCATATTTCCTTAAGATACCACAGGCAAAATGCTTTTCACTTTCCACACCACACAAACAGAATTCTGGATGCATCCACAAAGAAGGGCAGTAACACTGTGCTGCTCGCTTCCAACACTCACGATGAGGGAAACCATGCAGGTTTCCCTCATCATCTGTCTCCGCATCAACAGGTGTCTCTCTCTACGGCAGACAGCAGATGCCATCCTCCCATCAAATCAATACCCCTAACTGCGCTATTGCAATATGTTACCCTCATTCTGTCCTACCCATGCATCAAGCGATTCTGTTATGAAATGCACATGAATGACAAGGAAATTAAGTGGGATCAAATGCCTTTTCATTCGTATAAATTCTGGAGCATGAACAAAGAACAAAACGACATGAAAAAAAGGACAAACCACGGATATTGACTAGTCGGAAAGCCCCTGTGACTAGGGAGGTATATATAGATCGGTGAGGAAATGCTCTAATCTGATGGAATGAGACAATGATTTTGATCTGGTTCTATAACGACTGAAAATAAGCCAGAAAGAACAAATGTATTGTCTCTTTCTATACCCCACCACCAGATCTTTCAACTGCTTTCAAAGACCGATCCAATCCATCTGGTTCAGCATCGAGTAATAACGATCGTGTCATTCCCGATATCCCAGCTGTTCCAGTCTTGAATGCAGCCATCATGAGCAGGAACTCAGGCAACTCCACTCTCCCATTCTTGTGCAAGTCAATCTCAGACAGGATCATGTGAAGATCTTTTTCTGAGACCTTTTTCCCTTCCTTCTTCATTATGTCCCTGAAATCGTTGATGGTGATGAAACCTTTCCTGTCAGAATCCAACTGCTGAAATCGGGCTATGTATTTAGACATCTGGTCTCGAGTAAGATTGATGGCCATGTTCTCCACGCTGGCTTTGTTCACAGCCCCACCCATATCCAGCCGCAGGAATTGACGTGCCTCTGCAATCTGCTTGCTTTTCTCCTTCTCATCCCATTTGAGCTCCTCGGCCATAATATCAGCAACCAGGGGCAGGGCTTCTTCTGCTGCTTGAACGTTCAAGAAAGCGAATCTCAAACGCCGAGCTATAATGTCCGTCACAGTGCGAGCATATTCCCGGATGGCATATTGTACTTCACCTTCAATGTATGGGAAGTCTTCATGAATCTTCCTTCCCATGATAGGCCAACGTTTACCAGTGAACTTGGAGAGCTTTGCAACCTGAAAAGCCTGGTCACCATATGTGTTCGCCAGATGAATTGCAACATCAGTTTCCATACCAATGTCTTGTACAAGGCGGATGAACATGGTTGGAGACCAAGAATGTGCTCCATCCAAGAGGAGACCATCAGTCAGACTATCATTTTTAGAATTTAAAGCAAAAGCTTTAACAGCCACATCCATTGTGTCTTTAGCCATTTTTCGGTATGTAGTCCACTTCCCTCCTGCGATGGTCACAAGACCTGAATCACTCACATGGACGATGTGATTGCGTGCAATGGATTGAGTATCAGACTTGGCAGGATTGAACACCAGGGGACGAATACCACTCCAAGCTGACAGAACATCTCCTCTCCTAACTTCAATGTCTGCATTCAGGTAATTGCGAATCTCATTTAGGATGAACTGTATGTCATTCTCAGTTGGAGCTGGATGATAAGTCAAGGAACATGGTGAATCTGTTGTGCCTGCTATGGTATGTCTCTGCCAAGGTAAGAAGAAGATGACTCTCCCATCGGTTGTGGACGGATCCAAAAGACCCATTTGCTCGGGACTGTAATAATTGGGGAGAACTACATGGATTCCCATACTTGGTTGAACAATGCTCTTGGCTGTGGGATCATCCATCTTGCGGAGAGAATCACAAAATGGACCAGTTGCATTGATGACACACTTGGCTTTCACCTCCCAAGTTTCACCTGTAAGCTCATCCTTCACTTTAGCCCCACTAACATATTCCTTCCCATCCTCAGCCATCGCTTTTAGGACACCTTCCACTGTGACATAATTTGAGGCAACAGCACCAAGTCTGATAGCTGTCAGTGCTATGGTGAGATTCATCCTGGAATCATTGTGAGAGCCATCATAGTACACAAGAGCACCAACAAGGGCATCTTTTTTCAACACAGGGAACAGTTCCAAAGCTTTCTTCTTGGACAAATAATATGAGCTCTTCAGGAGTTTGGATCCAGACACAATGTCATAGAGCTTGATTCCTGCATAGAAGTATGGCACTTGCCACCACTTATAAATGGGTAGCATGATGGGAAGGGGAAAAGACAAATGAGGAGCAATTGCAAGAAGGTTGGCTCGCTCATGTAGAGCCTCTTGTACAATTTTGTATTGTTCTCGATCAAAGCCCAAGATGGCCTTCTGAAGGTAGCGGACTCCACCATGGATGAGCTTAGTGCTACGACTGGAGGTACCAGAGGAATAATCTTCACGTTCCACAAGGGCCGTTTTCAACCCCCTTGACACAGCATCAAGAGCTACTCCACATCCTGTGCATCCCCCTCCAACAACAAGGACATCAAATTCTTCTGTCTTTAGTTTCTGAAGCAATTCCTCCCTTGTTGGCAAATGTTTCAATCTATGTTCTATGCTGTTGAGGGGATTCTCTGCCATGACCCGAGGCAGTGCATCCACAATTGAGTCAGCCTCTCGCTTCAGCCACCATATGCCAAGTCCAGCTGCTCCACCCGACATAATCAATCCTCGCAACAGGTATTTGCCAAATCGATGGGATGACATTTTTGATCCCCAGGATGCTGAAACATACAATACTAGTTGGGGTGAGACCAGGTAATTATGCATAAAAAATGTCAAAATTTAATATTCCTCCCATAATTTCATTCATAAGAAGGTAATTTATTACATTAGGCTTCAGGTTGTTATCCAAGATTTGCAAAAAGGTCCCCTTGTTAGTTCATGACTTGTAATAAAGAAAATTTGGGAAAGTGTAACACATTTCAGGAAATACTGGCAACACCTGGTCTTACTTTTTGTTCTTTATTTTCTGCAGTACAAACATTTCGGCAAGTCTGGCTGACTCCTGTGGATAGGGAGACATGATGGATGCATTCAGATTATATGTGCAGCCTGAATTTCATAATTATTACCTGGTGATTCTCTTATAGTTTAATATAACCTTGGGATTAGCTCCTTATGTGCCATCTTTAATGCATGGGTCCTTTTTCTAGGCAATTTAATTTGTGACTGATGGGCAGGTTCCTACAGGAATCAATATTTTCAATGTTTCTCATCTTTGTTCCTAGTTTAAAATTTTCCATTCCATTATATAGCCAAAGCTCCAATAATGCTGTGACTTCTTTTCAAGTGAGTACAGGCCATTATAAAATCAAAACTCTACCTTTTTTCGTTGAATTCTTTAAACCCAGAGGAAGTTCCACAGGTTGACTATTTTGCATCCAATTTTATTACCCTCATTATTATGGTTATTTAGGCAGGCTAATGCCAGGTGTGCAAGCCTCATTGTGAGCTGATTCTGCTCTCACCTGAAGGCTGGGTGAATAGCTTCTTTCTTTCTTTGAGGCAGACACAAATTGGTCAGAGTGACTATTCCAGGAATAAGCCAACCCATTGAACAATCTTCACCATGAGGAATCTTTAACATTCCAAATGCCCAAAGCAATTCTTTTCTTTTAAAGCTCATTCTGGAGTCTGGATTCTGCACAATGAACAATTTTTGAAGTTGGATAAAAAGAAATCCTAAAGCAGTAGTTCATGTGAATCCAATTGTGCATTATTGAAATCATCATATTCTAAATTGAAAACCATATCGGGCTAAGCACAATGTTCATGATGCTTTCAACATAAAAACATGGGGGAAATGACAAACAGAGAGGGCTTAGCCCTTCCCTGCTGACAGGAATGCAAGAAAAATGCTCATTTGATTCTGTATGGTACCTGATGGCCTGAGAGATTTCATTTTCAGCTATGACACCTTCTTATCTTATGTTTTCATGGAAGAGGTACCTTCAAAGCTGTTGAGCTAATTTTTCCTGTTGTTACATTTGACTTTTCATAGCAGTCACAGAACAGGTAGCCAAGCTTTTCTGATCAGCTGAGACTATGTTTGACTTGGGAAAACTATAGGAGGGCAACTGGTCATGAATGCAGTTTCTTCCTGAAAAGGATATGAAGATTGCCATCTTTTCACACATGCAATGCCTTAATTCAAAATTAAAAAAATATAATGGTAGTCTAGTTAACAGTTTGATGGTTGAGCATTTCACATAAATTTTATCCTTAAATTGACAATCAAGCTTTATCCTGTAAACTGCTGGAATGTAACATTAACTTTTAAAAATTGCAATAAGTTGGGAATCCTTCACAGTTTTGGCATAAGCAATATCTAGCAACTTTGAAAGAATTTACTTATTTAATTTTTCTATGCAGTATATGTCATGGGATGCTTCTCTTTTCCACTGAATGACTGAAGAAGATTGTAGGACAATCAAAGTACAAAAATATAAGGGCTGATATATACCTTGAATCATTCTAATGAAGAAAATTACACTCTAATACAGAAGGGAAGTAACACCTAAAGCATGTATTAATTTTTCATTAACTGACATCTCATTACTGACACATTACATCACACTACATTACTGTCATTACTGACATTACTAGCATGACAAACAACCATGACATTTCATTAAATTTCAAGGTTGTATCTTGAGACAATGTAGAAGAGGACAATATTTTAAAAGGGGGATTGATCCTAGGTTTTACCCCCAGGGGATCGTAACTCCAAACCCTCCCTAGCCCCACTACTGGTTCACATGACTACATTTTGCAGTATGATGACTCAGAGTAGGCTTTAATCTGCCTGCAAGCAAGCAAGCACTTGCAATTCAGGCTAGGATAGAATACACATTGAAAAACTTCAGAATAAAAATGTTTCAACTTGACAGTTCTGTTGGTGAGGCATCATACCTTAAAAAATAATTTCAAATATTTCAATTTCAAGCTATGCTTATCCTGATACCATAAGAATACTGCAAGTTCAGCATTAGTTTGAATCTCTAGCAGATAAGAAATTGCAGAATTTAGTTGCCTCTTATGAACACTCCAAAAATAAGATGTCAGTGACTGCTGATGCTTTGAATGATTCCAAGCTTTGAACTTCCTCAACCTTCCGTACTGCAAGTGAGAATTGAGGTCATGAGCTTTGTAGACAGAAGGAAACTCAATGTACCACCCTTTAAACCATGGATAATACAGGTACTTGTTTTACATTGAATATGCCAAAATATATTAAAAGCAATTTACTAGTATACAAGCATTTCAGAAAAAGGAATTTTAATATATGAACTCGTAAGTTTAGCTTGTCAAATAATAAATCAAAATCAAAACTAGATTCAGCAATCAAGGTATTCTATACAATTGCTAATACAGAATTTTGTAGGGGAAAACCCTTCCTGGAGAAATCGCTGCTGCGTAAAGATGTGAAACTATGAAAAAATCTCTAGATGGAACATTATAGAAAAATGCTTGATCAGTCTAAGCTCAATAGGCCCAGCCAAATCACTTCAAATTTTGTTTACCCTTTGCGGTCTACTATTGGACATAGTCCAACAATCTCCTTAGCACTACAAATAAAATGGGCTGCAAAGGGTTAAAATATACTTTGTACCTCTGGATAAAGACAATCCAAAACAGCTATTATTTGGAAGTTTAGACTTCTTGTTTAGTTGTACTCCCTTTCTCATTCCTTACATTATTTTTTCTGTTATCTATCTCAATAATCCAATTTCTATGCTCTGTGCATGTGTATGCTACCAATCCACACTTCATCTGTTGAGTCAGGGGTGGGCAAACTAGAGCCCCCAAGCAAGATACAGCCTGTGGCAGCATTTTGAAAAACCTGCCAGCTGTTGCCCAGCAGTGATAGCTCAGACACCCATCCCAGTATGACTAAGTGGACCTTTCAAAAGGAACAAGTGTTATAGTTCCTTCCAACTATCCAGGCACCTAACAGCACAAAGGCAGGAGGGGATCTGTAGGGGTGACAGTAGGATATTTTAGGAGCTTGATGCAGATCAGGACAGTGGCTTACAAAGGCTTTTGTGTTTTCTCATGAGGCCAGCATGTTATGTTTGCCCACTCCTGTGTTAAGCTAACTTTTGCTTTTCAATTGATTTCGACATTTCTTCACTTTACAAAAATGGTATTTCTTCCTATTGCCAACTGCTTGTAATTATTTCAGAGTTACATAAGAAAAATCTATTTGACTCAGCAGGTAATACTTGGCATCCTCCAACTCAAAGGATTGGGTGGCTTGTAAAATGGTAGTAGTCACACAGCCACCTAGAAATAGGCCTAACATTAGGTATAGGATTAGCTTTAAAAAATGAATTAGCCAGCTTGGCCAAAGTTTCTTTTTTTCTTTAAAAGAAAGGAATATGCTAAGGGTTGGCCTAGGGCACCTTGGCAGCCCAAGCCTAGAACTAGGTTTGTGAGGCTGAACAAGGCAAGTACTCAACAGATACATGATAAACCGAGACCGAGTTTCACGTCCTGGGTAGATAGTTCGACGTCTTGGCTATGCCACTCGACTGTTCCATCTTACAGGGGGAACAGTCCGGATGGAATCTGGAAATGTGAGAAAAATAGATTGGCAAGCAAGTTCGACGAGTACTGGAACTACAGAGCATACCAATAAATCAGATCATGGTGAAGAAAAACAAGGATGAATTTCCAGGAATTCTTCGTTCCAATAATTCAAGTCGAGCATGAGTATGCCCATTGGATCAGCTGAATTGTCAAGGGTCATGCCGACCCATGGGCACCCTGGGAGCAGCCATGTTCACCTTGTGCCAATTCATGGGCATATTTTGAGGCACATTTAATACATTCATTTCGTTCATTCAAATATGTAATAGAGAGATAGCGCCAGCGTATCATCAGGACCATATTCTTAGCTTACATGGCGTAGCGCCACCTCTATTATTTTTTGGATGAACTTGTATATCAAACATTAAATCTCATGTCCATCCAAAACCGTCTTAAATATCTTTCATTAACCCATTGCATTAATAATCTCCATTCCTCAGAACCCAACCACTCTGTTCTGGGCCACTTAACCATCAACAACAGAAACCTCGAAACACTCAACCTCAAACGAATGTCTAGTAGGACCGATATTAGAGCAAATTCTTTTTACCCAGGTCTTATATGACTATGGAGCGAACTCCCAAACAAAATTTTTAATTCAGTTGTTGAAACAGCCCAAAAAATTGCAAAAAAACTCTTTAAAGAGCATTTCCTCCAGGAATCCTTCCTGGTATAACTCATTCCCGATATGCTCGGGGACGAACATAATTTGTCCCCAACCACTAGTGTCCCCCATTTTCATTTTCCCGACTTGCTATGCTCTCTCCCTCCATACCCATAACCCTATATACTCTGTTTCTCTCGCCTCTTCCCTGTCTTTGCTCCTGTGTTTTGTTATTTATTTCCTAGTTCTGCCTTATTTCCTTTTGTTATGCTTTGTTCCTTATGTATTCCCTTCCATGTTTCCTGGCTGTCATAGTGTCCACTGCTTTACTTGCCAAAATAAACTGATACTGATACTGATACCGATATATGATATATCCAACCCAAAACGGACCTCCCCCCCCCCTCCCCATCAATGGGATCAACGATCAAGAGGGGGAGGAGGGGTTCATTTTCGTTTCATACGATGGTGCACGAAACCACCCATGTGGAGTATGCCTCTACCTGTAATTGATGGAAGCGCTCCATGTGAATTCTATACAAAAACTGTATACTATGCGGCAGTGACAATAATGTTAAATTTTTTCTTCCAGGAAGGGTAACAGTTCTCACATTGTAATACATTTCATCGAATTAATTTAATATCTGTCGCGGATCCTCACATCAGAACCATCCCAGATAGCGAGAAACAATGTGCGTACATTGCCTGAAAGCTGGCAAGGTTGGCTGAATGTGGAGGCGAGCCAAAAATTTGCCTAACGTCAGTGGAAATTGGCATGCGATGTGGGGTGCACGTGTGCTACGAAGATTGGGTAGATTTTTGTGTATTTTCGGCCAAGAAAGGATGTGAATGATGAGTGCATGTGATCTGTCAATGTTGGTAAAACATTGATAAGGAGTAGGTGTGCAATGTTGTGTGCACATGGCCAGCCAAGGTTGAGCCATCGTCGGTAAAATGGTGGAAATTAGGTTTCACAAATGGGGAGTACCGATGACATATAGTCAAAAATGCTCACCAGAGGTGAGGTTTTTAATGCGGAGACTATTAGCGAAAGGGAAACTGATTTATTACCAATTTCGTTCACACGAAGAAAAACATGATCTAGCAATCGCTTAAGTTGCACGGAGAAACCGTAATGCACCCAAAATTCAGCGCCATCTCCTCATAAAATGTTACATGTTCGAGAAAGTTAATATTTTGTGACCTACCACGCGACGTCGCACGTGACGCAGCACACGAAGTGATGCCTTGGGATCCGACGTGGCCTGTGACTTATTGGCTCTCCGACGGTGAATAAGTAGTCACATATTCTGGACGCCATGCACCGCGGCATCGATCCTTTGTCAGTTGGAGAATGGGTTTTGCACCCGTGCGGGTTCCCGCAAGCTGTCTCTGCCATCGACTTGATGGTGATAAGGGTCGGTGCCACCTTCGCATTATCACAACACTTAATTATGGAGTCGACGATCGTCAGAATTTGATCATCGTCGGGGTTTCCATGATGGTGCGAACGAGGTTTTAAAGCGATCATATCCCGGGAATATCTCATGGGAATATCTTTCATTTGGGAATCCTTGCAGGGATTTAGGAGGCAGCCTTCATTTTTCGCCGATTTCCCATATTTTTACGATTGGGAAACGGTTGCGATGGAAACGGAGAATCCCACCGGCCTCGTATATTTAGACTCAGCTGAGGCTGTCGATACCACTTCTCGCAAGAGAATGCGAACAGAATGGAATCAAGGTAGGGTGATTAACTGGGTGAGTAGCTGGTTGTCTGGAAAAAAAAAAGCAGAGAGCAATTGTAATCGGGGAAATGTCTCAATTGTGCTGGAGAGGGTTCAGAGACGGGCTGCTAATACGATAATAAAAAAGGCATGGGAGAGTGCAAGAGCGGCTTAGAAACATCTGGACAATATTTCCTGGAGAGAAGATTAATAAGGGGTGATCTTTATCCACGCATTCCAGATCTTTAGGGCCATCGATATCGTGAAGCGTGCTTGGTTTCTCCGATACGATGATGACAAGAGGGGAATCGGTTCAAGTAAATTAGACATTACGAAATGTCTCATTTACTTGCCATTGAAGACGAGACCCTGTCCCTTTATGAAGACCCTGTCCCTTTATAAAGGGACAGGGTCTACTAACGTGTCCTATAGGACTGCGGTGTCAAACATCCGGCCCGTCGCCTGTTCTTGAAATTTCCGCCTGGATCGACTCTCAGCGCCCTCCGCGCACGAGCCTAACCTAAAAGAAGAGCTGGAGGCGCTCTCACCCCTCCTTCACCATTGCCAATTAGACGATGGCGTCCCCCTGTTGACCCAGGCCCGAACTGTCAGTATGAATAGGTCATCATTCGAAGCCGAGCAGCGGCGGCGGTAGCGTCCGGGTGAGTCACGAAGACAGGCGTGCGACTCGAACGACACAGCTGCTGTTGCAACTGCAGTGCTGCTGCTGTTGCGACCGCGCGCGAGTCGATGAGTGCACGAGGGTTTCATGAGCCACCTGTTGTGTAATAATTGTCACATGGGAAGGTGCGTTTTGCTACCTCGTGTTTCCTGAACTCGCCAGTTTTCTTACCAGAGATAGCAATTTTTGTTAGTTAAGGTAAATCGAATTTTGTTCTTACGTCTGAGGGCCTGTCTCTAACATCTTTTTACGCGTCCACAGATTTAAAAGCGGGCACATGATGACAACTGACATTGATGGTCAAAACTACGAGAGAATCTAGCCGCGTCTTTGCGCAAAAGCCCCCACCTTGCGGAGCGTGAAAGCCCATACGACACGTTCATCTGTCCCATCGCTTCGCGCGGACACCGTGCCCTTGGGCACCTTCTCGTACTGATCGCGAAATCCGAAACTTGTGGAAATGCCCTATGCACTGAAAATCTCTTTTTGGAATGGGTTTTGTGAATTCGATGTCCGGCCATCACTCATTGGATCATAGGTGTAATGAAAATTCCTTTTCAGGTCAACATCATTCTCAACTTTTTCGCTTTTCGTTCCTCACGATCCCGGTTCACTCTCATTGTATTTACCCTGTTCAGGTGTCTGAGTCTTACGAGAGTTCTATGAAGGTCCTGATAGCCAATGGACGGATACTTGGTTATATGTTCCGAAGAGATTCAGACAGACCTTTTATAACATTATCGTTTTCAACAGAAGTACCGAGATCCAGGACCTTCCCATGAAGCTTGAAAGCTACTAAACTAGCTACATTATGGAATCCTTCTCCATGTTCACAGTGGTGGCTACCTCATCGTTTGGCTTATCAGATAAAAGTCCGCCATCCTCTGTGAAATCCTCTACATGCTCATCCTTTTGAGGAATGGCCTGGTCGGACTGAAATGAAGACTGATCCGATGATTCTTTGTCTATATCGTCCTCTAAACCGTCTTCTGTTGCGATGATTTTACGTCATTTTCTTCATTCGCAAAAGATGAGGAGACCTGCTGGTCCTCCGTGTGTTGAAATTGACCGTCTAAGGTGAATTTGGGAGAAGGCGTTGGTTCAAAAACCAAATTCTCTGCTGGAACAGCATCTTTTTTTCAAGCGCCTAATAGCATTTCCACCATAATATGAATTGAGAAGTGATGCGAGCACACGAAAGCATATCTAATTTTCTGCATGTCGATTCCCACAAATACTTTTACAGGATGCGACAATGCAAACCTTGCCACTGCCCTTCATAACTAACAATTGCTATGAAGAGAATGAAAGGAACCGAAGAATATGAACGAAATCAACGAGCAATGTATGTACGGTACAATGCTGTCAAGGGTGACTCAGACAACCACAAATTACGAGTGAGAGACGACAGAAAGAGTGCGTATGACCTGTTTTGGCCTTAGCCCGAGAGGTAGTGAAATGGTCTTTTTTGTTCAATGACCATTTATTATACAAAATGCCCTTTACAAGAAAAGGATACAGGGTGGGAGGAGGTGGAATATACAGGATTAGTTATGGACAGATGGTGGTTCTTCATAGGTTGTTGAAGTCCAGGTCTTGGGTCGAGGGTGGTGTGGAGGTCTTGGGGTCGGGTGGGTCCGCGGCCAGCCACCAGGTGGTGTTGTCAGGCCAGGGGTTGCTGATTGCTTCGCGTCGCAGTTGTTGGTTTTTGTGGGTGAGGGAGGGGGGGGGGGGGGCGCCATTGGAACTCCTTGCCCTGAGCGCCAATATGCCTTGAAACGGCCCTGCCTGAATCACCAACTAAACATGACCCTTCCCACCCCGCAAATCCCTTGCCTTCTTCCTCTTTCTAACGCCCCTTAACAACATCTCGCGACGGCAGTGCTTTTTTTCTGCAGCGCGAGCTCCACCTACACTATCAACAACAACAAAAAAAATTCAGATCATCTCCCACTCCTTACCTTGCGGCCTAATCAGACATCACCTTTCACTTCTCCTTTGCATGAACCTTAGGAATAGCTCTGCACAGACCTCTCATAACCCCCCGCCCTATCGCTTGTCACCAGGGCGCCTGATAAGGCCCTACCGGCCAGCTGGCACCTGGAAACATCTTTCCTTCCAATGGGGCTTCTATCCCCTAACTCGCTTCCGATAGGATGTAAATGCTAATGTTCAATTAAAAACCGTAAATACACTAGATCAAGGGTGCCCAAAGTGATGGCCTACGGGCCACCTCCTAGGACACCCCTGCACTAAAATAAATTCACGTAATTGCTAGGGCACAAATCTCTCAACCGCTTGAACAAGTGGACCTAGTCCTTGGTCCACCACATGCGGGGGCCCACCATACATTTAGCTCCTATTTTTATTGAAAAAAAAAAGACTTCTCGCCTCACCTGAGCTTAACTTGCAAAGGATCCCAAAATAATCTGGAACATCTTGCGTGACCTGCGTAACCTGAACACCATGAGCTTAATACTGCATTCCTGAACTTCAAATTTATGCAGGATTCTAATCCTGCATAAATCTCTCACGATAGCGATAGAAAAGTTCCACCGACGTCACAGCTTCGGGACGACGACAATAAGGAGAAATATCCTTCCGTTAGCTGTCTACCTCCTGGACAAGTCTTCCTGACCCGCCACGTCCTACCGCCGACGAGTTTTCCTCATCGTCTGTTTCCTTCACTCTTTTTCGAAGCCACTTCCGCCGCACCGATAATGTAGTCCGGGCGCCTACATTATCCCGACCACGCCCATTCATTCTCCTTCTGTGTATTTGTCCGAACAATAAATCACCTGCCCCAGGTACTTCGATTAACCCATCCACCGTCGTTTCCCGCTAGAGGCCATGACATTAACAGTATTGTGTTTGAACTGACAATCCCGAGAATTTCTCATTAAGTAAAAAGCGGTTCAGGAAATTGTTCTCTGACCCTTCTTTGATGAATGAACTTAAACTTTTCTATTAAAGACAATATAGCCACTTTTGCAAACTGATACTTGGTACTCACGGTTGTGGTCCCTCACTTTACACAATGGCAAAAAATATATTATAACTTTGGGATACCCTGTATAATACGAAACGACAGTCAAAAGAGAGGAACAGGGGAAAAGGGACGGCGAATCACCAGGAGTGATTGTAAAATACAATAAGTTACCTAGAACTGAAGAGACGCTCACTGAGAAGTGTATGGCACAAGGAGGGAGGAATCAATGAATGCAGTGACGGTGGGGGCGGGGGGAAGGAAAAGGGGAAAGCAAGGTTAACCAGAGGTCTTGATTTTTTGTGCTGATTACTGGGACTGGTATGTAGGTGATACCCGTAGACCTTTCCGGGATCGTGCCAAGGAACACATTCGCTACACCAAACTCAAGTACAACCCACCCACCGGTTTATATTTTAATACCAAAGACCACCATCGTGATGATCTCATCATCATTCCTATAGAGAATGTAAAACTCGCTGACCCTCTCTACTGGGAGAGCCAGGAAAAATTCTCGATCGATAAAGTGAATCCCACAATCAACGAAAAAAAATCAAGATCGTTGACCTTGGTTTCCCTTTCCTTTCCCCCACCCACTCTTCTTCCCAGCAGCCGAAAATTATATGGAGAAGATAGAAACAAGGTTGTTAAAAGGAGTCACCAATGAAGCGTCAGAGAACTACTTCCTGAACTGCTACACTCAACAGGAAATTTTCAGGGTTGTCAGTTAAGGGGTTAAAGGATATGAGACCGATTTCTGTCCTCTGCTTTTGAAGAATATGGTTGAATCACTTTTTATGAGCCTTTAATGGGTTTTCTCGGGGATGAGTATTAGGAACAACATGGATTCTGCAAAAAAACACAACACTAAGACGGCCCCTGATGAGCTGATTCAAAGAGAAATTGTTGTTGTCTTGCATTGGTTAAGTCACGTTTGAGTGACAGGAACGTATTATTAATGGCAAAAATTTGAATTCTTCCAATATCAATTAAAATATGGGATTTTTCAAGGCTCCAAATTAGGCTATTTGTTGTTTCCTGATTTAGATTTGCAGACTGAGCTTTGATTCAAAGAAAACACAAATAGCTGATCGTCTTCAAGCGATTGCCTTCTGAAAGGCTCCAGACGCTGGAGAATTTTTCCTTGTTTTTCTGGCTAGAACCGCTTACGCGGACGACAGGAGGCACGCACAATTTTTTTTTTTCGACGTCACGAGAAATCTCTGTGTGAGTTTATACAATTCTTCCGTTTTCATTTCTCTCCTACGATGCATCCCAATTTTCTGTCTTTATTCCCTTGGGATGGCCCGAGCCTTGCAATGATGTCAAATCATTGGGAAATATTATGCTCACGATCTGTGCACTGATTCTTTCGGAATGTTCATTCAAGAGAAACGTTTCCATTACGATGCCCATCCCCCACCTTTATTACCTCTCAATCTACCGAAGGCAATCTACCGAAGGAATCATATAATCCTACATCATGTGTCGGATCGACTCGATATGATAGATCCCACATGCGATTATGCAGCTCCACTCACAACGGACTTTTCGGTCGGAAGTCGGCAAATACAACCTTGAAGTTTTTAATTCCGCACCTGAGATACCTTATGGCAAAGATGAAATACCACGGCCCGCGGATATATTTTTATCCCGGCCCTTTTGATGCCTGCAGTCTCTAAAAATGTATATTTATGTGCGGGCTATTCTTTTTGGTGATGATGGGACTGCGGCCCTCAAACATCAGCCAAAATCACAATTCGGTCCTCTATGGGGAAAGGTTGTGATCCACTGTATTATCAGGCAGCTGGCCGTTCATCCCTACGTAGCCTAATGATCGGGCCCGCAAATTTCAGTCCGCAATAGAGTTCGATGCCGAGTGTGAGCAACGATTCGAATCGGAACAATGCAGACGGGTTCAGAAAAGTCCATCTGTATAGGCCACTGCCGGACAGAGACAGCTGAAGACGGAAGGGCAGATATTGCCTATTATGATATTGATAGAAAGATCCATCAGTGGCGGACGCGATTTTTCATTTATGTTAAAGAACCATTGGTAGCGAGCGTAAACGCCATGAGTATAACATGAGAACGATTTCAATACACGACAGAAGCACGGATTTTGAAGAGCAAGGGAAAAGAGAAGGTAAAAAAAAAGGTCTCCCTTTTCCAGACGCATATAAAACCGGATCGCGACGACGAGACGGAAGGGAGAGGGGATGGGGGAGGGGGGGACAACGAGGGGGAAGGCGAGTGCCAAGGACATCTTGTTACAAGAGGCTGGGGGAAGGGGAATGAAGGTTATGTAAAAAAAAAAATTTGTGCGTGCCTCCTGTCGTCCGCGTAAGCGGTTCTAGCCAGAGAAACAAGGGAAAATTTCGCAATTTGACAATCCAAATGTCAAGAAAGGCGACTGATGTCTGCTCTGAATCGTAGACGATTCCACCTCATGATATAGGATGGCATGATGTATCGCCTGTGGAAGTTTGCGAGGATGGAGGAACGGGAAGGAAAACGTTACTGAATTCAACGGAAAAATTGGGATGCATCGTAGAAGAGAAATGAAAACGGAAAAATTGTATAAACTCACACACAGATTTCTCGTGACGTCATCCATAACATGTTGAGAATAGGAAAAGAAAGACGCAGCAAAACGAGATTTTAGCCAAAGCCATTCGACAAACCGAACGTGCATAATCAAGAATTTTACATCACTACTCGAAAACAAATTCATGAAAAAGGCGACCAAATTAAAATTATTTCCTGGAATGCTGACGGAGATAACAGGCTATAATGAGACCTACCAAAATCGCAACCTATGATTCGACATCATTGCAATACTCGGACCATCCCAATAATAAAGACAGAAAATTTGGTGTTGCGGGCATAAATACATGAACTTTCCGGGATAACCTGAGCAAATATCACGGGTGTGAAAATGTCCATGCACTACAGAGAACCACATCTATCGATCTATCAGAGAACATTTTAAGATTTCCACGTTGAAGGCGGATCAGGGAAGCATTCATACGCGAGCGTATGGGAGGGAGTAGAGTGGTGGGGGGCAGTCGGAAACGAGAGGCATCACGAGTGAGCAGGGAGAGAAAAGTTGGTGCTTCGAGCATAGATACACTCGAGAGATCCCTTGCTGTCGACATGTCAAAAAATATTTTTTCTCTTTTCTCTCGCAGATAAAGGGAAACAGAGCTATTCCTGTTGAGTCGCAATATCCCTGGCCAGGTGTATTTGCAGGTATCCAAGGAGCGGGCGGATTCAAGGCCGCAATGGCCATTTCCCAACCACGTGACTTGCTATTGACCCGAGTCGAGAGACGAGTAGTCTCCGTTGCGGTGCCATGCTGACACGAATGAGTGCCTGTGACTGAGTGATTGAGGAAAACCGAAGGGTGTCCATCATGCCGAGGAGGTCTAATCACGAACCAACAGATCCGTTGGGTCTCGGTGGAGGCCATGCATTTAGTCAACCGATAGGAAGACCCCGGCGGGATTCGACTTTCAATCAGCCGGTATTCCCAAGTGCGACTGCCGGTCTTAATTCCTACTCATCAGGAACGGGGATCAACAGCGAGCTTCAGGAACTCACTGAACGGGTAGGCTCACTGGTTATTAGTTGCAGAGCTCTATGAAAAAGTGCGAGGCTAAGTTACAAACGACTGTTTTTGAGGTGATTGTTGAGATTTGAGAGGTCCATTTTGTGGACATTTGTGAAAATTACGCTTCAGAGACTCTAATGTGACTTTGACAAGGAAATTTACACTTTCTTTTGAAAGAAGGTAAGTTTTAAGGTTGACTTCTGTCAATCTTCACGATTTTGATTCGAAAACAATCACGTCATTCCATGACAAAAAATCCCAAAAATGCAAATTAACATCCGTTCATTTCTGATTTGGATTAAATTTGGTATACAGGGTTCTCCTGCCCCAAAACCCGGAAATGTCAAACTTCAGCCTCCTCGGGTCAGTAGGTCAAATGCTACAGGGTCAAAATTTAGGGTCACCAACTAACTTCCCATTTGTATAGCCCAGTAACTCAAGAACTATTTACGCAAGAGCCTTAATTAATGTGTCAACTCACTGGAAATTACTTAAGGAATTCAAAACGGTCAAAGCAACGTCACTCGAGCAAATCCCATACAGTTATTTCTAAAGGAAAATTTTTTACCTTTGAACTTTGTAAAACCCCACAAATAAATATATAAAGAAAATTCCATAAGAAGGTGAACGTCTCTGTTGCTGATATGCAAAATTACAATGTAGTAGTTTTTCACATTCTATCAATAAATTTTTAAATATTTCTTCTATTTTATAGGCAAGAACCATCCGTACCCTGCCGCTTAACCCTTTGAGCCACGAATTTACAGTTTCTGATGTCATAATTTTTGAAAGTATCTTGGACAGTTAAGGTTGTTTCACTAAAGTTTCAAAGCTTAATATGGGGATCTAGACACCAGTCGGTAATGTTCACCAAAGCGGAACTTTAGTGGCAAGGATCCCGTCCCTCTTTATAATGTAAAATAAAGTAAAGGTGGTTACACGGTGTAACCACCTCGCCTCAAAGGACGTTACAATTTTATCATTGAAGGGATTAGCATTCTTTTGAATTTCAGTTGAAATTGGGTGAGTTGCTAGCATGAAAAATTAGACATATAGTGACAGTAAATTTAAATGTCATCATACGAACTGCAAGTACATGAAACAATCGGGAGTAAAATGGTTGATTTGTCATGGAATCGTCCAATGTGACTTAGTGCCTTCTTGCAAGGAGCCCTTCCAACGTATGCAAGGGTACTTGTCCCTCCACTTGTTGTTTGTAAACCGTTGGACTAACATTTCCCGTCGTTCACGGAATGCCCCACTCCTGTATAACAATTACTTGACTGGTTAATGTCGTAAATAATTTCGGGTGCGTTAGTTGCAGAGAATTCAGAACGTGAGTCAAGGGCTGGACTTGGAAATACCGCCTTCGTATTCGGGTTCAAATTTCCTTTCCGTACCGTCTACAGCCGCTCCCAGTCTCCAACGGAGAAATACCATCTCCGCGCCGACAGCTGCCAGCACCACCAACGGTAATATTATCCACATTTGCTCGAGGATTTTTCGAAGCATCGGGAATGTAAAGTCTGTATTTTCACAGGAAGACGTATTCCCGACATTGACTACCGCATGGAACTAGACAGACAGGTAAGAGAGAAGCAAATTCGACAGCAACAGGAGAAACAAAGATACGAACCTAGTTTTTATGAACAAAACGCTCGAAGAGGGAACCTCGGCCCGCAAAACGAACGAGTTTTTCTGGATAACGACAAGCCCGCCCAGTTTTGGTTCGAACAGAAGTCCAGACGGAGGGCTCATGTCTCGATGGTGAGTACCTCCAACGTATCTGGATTTATGAATCCCCCAACATTCGTGTCCCGTTCCGAGCTGGAGATGACTAATGATATTTCAGAGAGCCGACGAGCTTCCCGATCCCAAGCAAGTGCGAGCGGAGCTGGAAAGAGATCTTCAAGAGCAAATCATGCGTAAGAAGCAGTTGGAGCTGGATCAGAAGAAGAAGGAAAAAGAAGAGGAAGAGAAGGAGATAGCTCGAATGAGACAGCAACAGGAGAAGATGACCAAAGCGTTCGAAGAGGAGCAGATGAAGAAGCAGATGAAAGAGAGGAAGGTGAGTCAGAAAGTTTCATCCTCGTTGAGCACACGTGCATTTATGACGAATGAGGACCTCTGCAGCGCCTAGAAAGAGCGGATGCACTGGCTCGGCGTCAGGAAGTTCTGTTAAACCAAGACAAGATGAAACAGCAAGGAGGGGGAGACGTGGTCACGATCCCACCGATGCCAGATTTTTCCACTGCGATTTCTACGACTAGACCCACCCCCTCTCCTCTGGATCAGGTGAGATCGAACATTGCATGAAGTTTTCCTGATTCTGAAATGTCAATGCAAAACACAAGGCGAATAAGAATATACGTTGTTCACAGGTCGATGGAGGTGGCACAGGAGGTGCGTCAGCAATGATGTTCCCACCTTCAACGGCCTTCGGTGGGATCAAAAACTTCTCCCAAGTCCCGGGGATGGGTATGGTCATTCATTTAATGATTTTTAAATTTTTTATTCTTATTATTTATGAGCTCATTATTTTTAGGTGGAGGGTTGAGTGATGCACGGATGAACCTGGCCACCATGCCCAGCTCAGACATGGCTTTTCTTGATAGCAACACTGTTCAATTAGGGGCGCAATTGGATCCTGCACTCTTGAATGACTATCATGGTCCCATCGATCCTGCATTTGCCGATTTCACCAATAATGATCCCTTATGGAACACTGGTAACCTAGCGACATATCCCACCAACAGGATTCCACGATTACTTATTAATGAAGATTTTGTGTTATTTGCCAGGGCTGAACACGGGCCTTCTGGAACACCGAATGGATATGGGTGACCCTCAATTCCAATTGCCCTCAATTCAAGTCTCTCCTATGTATTGAAGACGGATTCCAAAAGGAATGACCACCCGGTTTCTTCGATTCCACGTTTCATCCCCAAAGGAACATGACTTTTCTGTCCTTTTAACACCAGTATTTGAATAGCACGATTTAGGGTACACAAGAACCAGTCCATTTAGAGGCATCGAAAGGCGGATACCAGTACATGGAATTGTACACTGTACCTCTCTTGTACGCCATACTGGTACAGCATACAAATGAGATACGGCGAACCATAACGTAATAGAAGATTGGAAATTAGTCTCAGGAAAATGTATGCCTTCGTCATGTCAATAGGAAACATATGTGCCATGTATGAAAGAAGACGTGAGATTGCCTTGCTTCGGCTGTAGTACTTGCTACTCGAGGATTGCGCTGTAAGAGGAAACTCTGACAGCAAAATGTGAGACATTGAATTATTTGCGATACGAAATGTTACTTTTGGACGAGTATGTACAAAGTAAAACTCAGAGGGGCTCCCTGAAATGCACCACGAATGTTGTGTTTCGTTTATGGTTTCCCGCTGTAGAGCAGAAGAGGAAATGATGCTGGCAACGACGTGCTAATAGTTTTGGTTACCCGTTTTTAAGGAGGACTGGAACGCGAACGTATTACTAGGCGTTCAAGTTCTAGATTTTCGAATGGCAATTTGGTTACGCGTTTCAGATCTGGAGCGGAGAGTAACATCCATGGATTTCACTGCAGATGGTGTGCAAACGACACCTAATTTAAGGTTATGGTCAACTCAGTGATACACAGCTAAGGTACAACCTGGTAAACTCACAAATCCCCAGGTATCCAAATGTTATGCATTTCCCCCTTGTATTGATCTACTGCAATTAAATTTTCTTTCCTTAAGAAGGGTTTTCACAATAGGAATGAATGCTTCGGTTTGCCTACTGGACTAACGTTCTTGATTCCTTTGCCTGTTCATCATGGTCCCATGTAGACATTGCAATCCTTGGCTACAACCAGAGTTCCTCTGTCCTATTTTCCCATCATTCACCATCTCCAATAACATATCATGCTTCCTTTCTCAGGAGAGTTAGTGATATCAAGAGGCGATTTCGCCCATTTCGATATCACGTACCATGAAAGCATCTAGTTTCTTCTTAAAGATAGTCACAGAAGGGGCAGGATTCGAAGGGGCAGGATTTCTGTCCGTCTCTCATGGCAAAGTAACCGAAGTTCATATCTGCGTTGCATCCTACTTCTCTGATGGCGAGGAGGACATGTCAGTTGCTGTCCTGGGGGATATTTGGCTGAAACCCAAGTTGTGGATGAGACAATTGTCCAGAAACCCATCTCGATCGAAACGTACTTTTCTATCAGTCGGGAAACCCTTGCTGCGGACGCGAGACAATTGTCTAAATATCCAACCCGGGGCATACTGTGCCTTGAATTTCAGCTGCTTCGCCATCAATAGTAGCTTTCCTTCCTGGATGACTGACTTGAACGAATCACGCGTTGTACCTAAGCTCACGCGTCTATCAAGTCGTTCCTGATTGGTGGATCTTGCGTCGCGATCACGTCTCCGAGAGAACAGCTACAAGAGTCCCTCCACGTCTTAGACGTCTTCCTCACGCGTTTTAAAACTGCTGGTGACGTCACCAATGACGTCAGCCGTCCTACATCCCTTGCCGTCCTCTCAAGAACGGGTAACCAAAACTCTAATATCTCGGTAGAGTGCCAGAACTAATCTTGAGTTATTTCTTCTTTTTTTTTCCATTCCTCAAAGTCTGGATTCTGGTCGCACTTGGGAACGACTCTACTTGAGAGATTCTCTCGAGCTGAATGTGCCATGTGCTCAGGTAAAATTCTGCCCCTGAAGACTGAAGCGACGTAAGCGACTTCGAAGGGATCCCTCACTTTGCTCTCGCAGCGACGAGTGGAAAAATCGGAGATGGCGTTCGGAGGAGCCCGCGTCTCTCAGTGAGCAATATCTGAGAACCTATTCGGTAGAAGTACCGTTCCCAAATGCACCCATTGAATCCTCCGTCCGGCTAGGATTGCCTCTGTCGCACAATTTGCGTGTTTGTCATTCATTCGGGCATTATCACGCATCACACATTTACATTAGGAGGAATGGCATGTGAGATATTATTATTTTCCAGTGGCCATGTGAAAAATTGCTTAACGAGTTTCGGTCTCTCACTACTCAAGTAAAGAGCGACGTCACACGCATGCCCCGCGTAGAAAATCTGGCAACCCCAAGTCCAGCTAAGTATCCTGCTAGAAGAGCGTTGTCACCAAGTCACCACCGAAATAATGAAATCCCATCCTGCGTTCGCTGAAGCTAATACCAGTCATAACCATTGCTTAAAATCCATCTGCAGAAGTCTGGAACCTTTTAATACGAAGAGATGATGGGCGAACCAAAATCGCTTTATGGATAGAATCGAACTGATGCATATGGTCTACTCCGGACAGTGTCAAACTTTTACATGACTGAATATCATGACGATGATACTTGTATTAAGGTAGAAATGACACCACAACCTACAACGTTGAATCAGCCTAAGCAAGAAAAACTCGCAAACGTATTATTGAAACTCCAGAGGCTTATTCAATCAAAGTATATAAGCTGTACAGTATTATCTCTAATACCAGTCTGACGAGGATTTTTTATATTTTAGCCAAAGACTAGTGAGTGACTGATACATGCTTTTTCTTTTTGGATTTTTTTTTCCACGAAACTTTTGGATATAGGTCATTGGGGTCTTTAGAAGAGTTGACGCCGATTCAAGAGACGTGTTCAACATTTTCTGAGGGTGTATATTTTCGAAGCACTTGCAGTGCGCGTCTGAAATTCGAGGCTGCAGGGCGGAAAGACTTGGTTTTTGTAACTTCAAAACTGATTAAAACTCTCAATGTTGAATATTAGAGTCTGTAGAATGGAAACGGTTTAGGGTTACACATGTTTTCGTCCTTTGATAGCACAATTTGGGGAGAGAAGTACTTGTGACTTTGCGGTGAATGAAGACAAGAGTTTTATTCGGATTAAAACAGCATCAGACCAAGGGTGGAATATTTGAGGCGTGCATTTGCTTTCAACTTGACTTTTCACCGCGCTGATCGTGGAACCTACTACCACCTATCTGAACGCGTCAGGTATTTGTGGATGGGATCTTGGAACGTGATCTGAAACATAGCGTCATCACGAGGTGTTCGAGTACCGCCACGAACACGTGGCGGTCCTCACACTAGCAAACCATCGTGGCCAAGTCCTCGCCACGAGTAGAACAAACGCTGACCATTCATTCCGGGACGGATTGAATCAAGGCTATGAGAGGGTAATTTCATTTCACATTGCTTTAAGTTTCCAGTTTCTCACAAGAGATGAAGGGCTAAATTGGCGATACATATAAAGCATGGATTGGATAAGTAATTGGCTATCGGGGAGAAAGCAAAGTTGTAAAGAGCCTTCAGAAGTCAGGGGTGGAGTACCCAGAGTTCTGTCTTCCAACCACTTCTCTACGTCATAAATGATTTAGAATGAGGCCTCGTGAACGAAATTTTCCGGCAAGAAAATAGGTTTCTCCAACAGCCTCCAAAAAAGGCCCATAAGGATCAGTAAAAGTTACGTTTTTTGCATTGGCTATTATTGCGAAGAGTCTCCCTTGAGTGTGCCCTAGGCGAATATAGGCTTATTACGAGGTAAAGATGAGGTATTGAAATTTATCAAGCAGGCGACGAAGCATCGCAGCTACTTAGACCCTATGGTGGTGAAAAGAGCTAAAGCTGGTAAGAAGTAGATGGAGGACTGAATTACAGGGTGGCCCATAAGTAATGTGTCACTTTTGGATGGCCAATAGGTATGAAACGGTGAGACAGAGCGTGATGCAGTGACGTGTAGCATGTAGCGGTGATTTCAGTGTAATTGTCATTCATCGTTCAACTCAATTGAATTTTTCATTCCTCAATTTCAGAGTAAGGAAGAGTACGGAACAACAGGGCTGAAAATTCATGGCTGGTGTTCGGTTGAGCATTGAAAAGCGAGTGTGTTGTGTGCGACTGTTCTCAATCAGTGGCAATGCAACAGAAGTGCAACGCCTAAAAGTAGTATCAAACGTGCATAGACATGTCCTTAATGATTCTGTTACACGTTGTTATATGTATATATGTATCACTGTTTCATAGATATCTGTATTACAAAAGTGACACATTACTTATGGGCCACCCTGTATACTACACCCCATATCGTTTAGGTTGCACGGAGGGAATTTTTTCTAAGGACCTGAAAATAGCGGGTATTGATGGTTGTCTGTCATACTTCGAAAGCCTCAAGGAACAGAACTGGAGTCTTCCATCGCTCTCTTCCACCCAACAAATTGACAGGTTCGGGACCTGGGCGAAAGGGGGATCGTGAATCTTCAAGAAGAATGAGGTCTTCCTGCACATGAAGTCGCCGTCGCTTATTATGATCACTTTGGTACAGGTCAAAAATTATCTTTATATCAGACAGAAAGTTTGTGAAGCAAGGATTGAGGAATTCTAAGCTTCTCGACTGCCCCTCTCTGCCAGCTTATTGTAGCACTCGAGCATTTCCTCCCTCCTTGTAACAGCTTTCCCCTTCATCTTCAAATATCTGAGCGCCCTAAATCTTTTCTTTTTTCGGGGGGGTTTCGCCAGGGTATTTAGTTGAAAACATAACGGGATTTTCGGCATGAGCCAATGTTCAGAATATTTGACAGGAAAGGGCATTAATCTCCCTTTTGACTGATTAATCTAATCACTATATCCGGTGGACTTAATACCCGGAGAAAATTATAGGGGAAAAGCGAACTACATCGACTGGACCAGCAAAAGTAATTCACAAAATACGGCCGATCACTATATAGATGATCACGACAGGCGACGGTGACTGTGTTGTTACATGCCCACAAAACTCAAACCATGCACTTACAGTACAGTTTCTTGTCAAGAAATAATATAGAAAATATGTTATTGAAAACGGAAGGGTGGATTGACAAAATGAGAAAGTATTCCAAAGTCACAGCTGGTCATATCACATGCCCCACTCCAACATAAAACCCTCTACTCATGCGAACCAACTTTCACTATACACCAATGCAGCTGGGGATCATAACAGAAAAAATGTGAGTGCAGTGTAAAACACCATTTAATCAGTTTTCCACACAACAAATATATCATGTAGAACATAAGAAGACATGATTGGAAATCATCAAAACATAATGGAAACAAAAAAATAGAAATAAAAAAGAATAATGTCGCAGTGACATCCTGAGAGCTCTGAGAGCTTGAAGAACTGACTCCAAGTTCCAGTGGGAAAAGACATCAGATGGCAAAATGTTTGACACAAGAATGCAGGTAATAGGCGTTATATTACGGCAATTGCCATAAAAGCAATTTATTCATAGTTTCCCCCTTGAACAGAGGACAGTTTTGCACATGACCCTTAACTGGGTGTCATCCTTGACTGATTTAAGATGTCTTCAACTTCTTGTTAGGGGGCTCAGCTTCCTCATCCTGGTGGTCCCATTTGTCATGAACAAACTGAATTATTATGGCTGTCATGTTGTCACAGCCATTCCCATCACCCAAAGTATTTGGAGCAATACAGGCACCAAATAACTAGCAGAGAGATCCAAAAACACACATATTTGGAAACATGAATGAAATGAGATGAGTGCTAGGCCTAGGGAGTAAAGAAGATTAACACATGAATGGGCTCCAGTTTGCTTTCTCTTGCACATGTCACCTGGTACCCATGATGGAAATGAATATGATGTAAGATTCCAAATTTACCATATTCTGCATCATTTGTACTCCTGCATGCTAGCAGTGCATTAGTTCATGCAAGACTCATTAAACTACTACTGAATGTTGTGATATTTTGAAGTCTTAACATTCATTCTTTACATGCTACAGTTAGCCCAATTCATGAAAGCATCATTAATCTCCATGGTCTCATGCATAAATATTAGACCCATGCATGCGCCAGTCTTACATTAGGCCTCATGTATTGCAATGCTTTCCTAGAAAAGTTAAACAAACTATAAAAAATTAATTCCTTAAGTTGTGGGATATGCCCTTTATGGCTGCCAAAATGGATATGCCATCAGTTGTAACATTGCAAAAAAAATTTAATGCAAAGGGTAAAGTAATTGATTGATTATACACATTGTTATGAGTCAATAATCTCTTCTCTAAGTATGGAAGTAGTCATAGACTACTGAATAAAATGACAATATGAGAGCATTGGGATGCTACCACATCCATTGATCCCATCCAGCAGTTGATTATCTGATACCCATTGGATACTGGCACTGGTAAAGAATTAACCACCCACTCTGGTGATTGGGATCTATATAACCTATTGCTATTAATTCTTTTGATACTCATGTTTTACTTTCACTTGATACTATTGGTTAGACATATACTCAGTAGAAGTAAATCATCAGGTTTGCCAATAACAAGGTTTCATTCCTTAGATGGAACATGGAAGGAGACACTGAAAATAATGAGAAAGAGAAATAAAAAAGTTATTCAGTACAAATCTTGTGATCCCAAAAGGAAGAGTGCAGAACAAGTGTTAACAATTAACCGAGTTAACAATTTGGACAAGCAGTTTTCAATAAAGTTGGTCAGAAGTAAGGACAAGGAATTCCTCTTTGGAATTAGAATTCTAGACAAACTTTTCAATCAAGTTGAAATGACGATGTCCATGAGGCAACTGAACCTGAGCGAGGAGAAGGGCACCTAACAAAGGAAGCAAAGACAGAGATATTCAGTAGACAAGTCCTGGCCACCAGTGAAACCACTGTTTGACCAATTGAGGTAGGGGGAATTGTACAGTGTGGGTTCTGGTGGTCTGTATATGCTTCATCAAAAGGAAGGGTAACAGCAATTTACATAGAAAACCAAATGGCCACTTTGATACTCTCCACCTGCAAAGTGTGAAAGGGCCAGGAAAAACCTAATCAGAGGACGGCGAACAAAATATGATGAAAAACAAATAAAAACCCAAATAGAAGCAGAAAGGGCTGGGTAAGGATGACCAGACCATTCATGGCATTTTAAAAATATTAATCAGGGATTTTCTTTCTGGGGCAATCTCTCCATGAATATAAGCATGATTAAAAATGTTTAAAGTCTCCCAAGAATGAAAGGCCCACTGTTGAGTTCAGAGTTAAAACTAAACGGACTATGCTCACAAGTCAGGGTACCAAGTGACATGCATCCTGGGGTTAAAATTGAAGAAGCAATGTGAAAGCTAACCTCATTCACTCAAGCCAAGGGATGAACAAAAATGAGACTTACCTCCTCTAAGATTTGGGACAAAGTTTTCCCTGAGTTGAGACGTGAAGACACAAAATCCACAACTTCCTGTGATGAATAGCTATTCCAGATGCCATCACATGCAAGGAGGACAAAGTCATCTTCTGAGGTCACTACATGAGTCTGAATTGTTGGCTCTGCTGTTATCATTTGGTCCTTAAGAGGGAAATCTTTGTTTCTCTTGTACAAATGATCACCTGACAACAGTGAAAAGTCAAGAACAATGTGAGCACTATCAACCATCTCCATACTACCATCAGAGCAAAAACAAAGCATACAAACCAAATGCACGAGAAACATTCAGGCCACCCATGACTCTTCCTTCGGACACCTTCCCACCAGCTTTTGTGATTCGTTCCAACTCCTCCTTGTCTTCTGGCTTATGATCAATACTCAGGTCAATGGCCTTGCCTGAGCGAGACAAGACACAGCGAGAATCACCAGCATTTGCAACATATAAGTGTCTATCACGAAGGATGGCAACAACAGCAGTGCAGCCACTGCAAACACCAGGCTGAAAAGAGCAAATAGTCAAAATACATGAATAAATTACTAGAACTCCTATCATAAAGTAAAGGCAAAATCATACTTGTAAGACAAAACAAAAAATGTTGACTTGAATTATTTCATTGATTCATACATTTGAGCCATATCTGCCTCACTCAATGTGATTATTGGCATGAGAATGCCAATGGCATATCTTTTCTGAACACAAGAGCTTTGTTGTTGCTTTGCAGCCAATCAACAGGAAAAATATGAGCTTCTGCAAGAGACAGGGGTAGTATAGTCCTATTTCATAGAAAAGGCAAAAGTCAAGGAGTGAATCTTGTTTTTGAGATGAGGTATCACATTTTTCAATTTCACTATAAAATTTTGATGTTATTGCACTTCACACTCTATGCAATTGTTGAGAAACTACATTTGCAAAATGTCCATCTTTGCCGTTGAAAGATTGATGGTAACATTAACAGTAAGAACTAAGTGAGAGAGCTGGTCTAGCATTCATATTTCTCTTATACTTCATAGATTTGCTTTGGTTCATCTACAGGGTGTCTAACAAATATGTACTAGGGTCTTAGAGTACTTTCTCAGCCAGCTAGCAGGACATGTTCATTTTTCTCAAAAGATAATTGAATTTCAAATTAATTTGCAGAGAAGAGAAGATTTGAGAAGAGAGTTCTTCAAGAGCTTAAACATGACAAAGACCTCTTCAAAAGTCTTCTCTGCTCAAAGCCCAGGTGCATTCGAGCCATGATCAAGAACAGTGGTGGCCATACTGACTTTTCACTTTTCATTTTTTGAAATAAAATTTAAATTCTTGGAACTTTTTGAAGAGTCAATAAAAACGTCTGAAAATTTGCAAATTAATTTGAAATTCAATTATCTTTCAAGAAGAATAAACATGTCCTATGCTAGCTGGCTAAGAAAGTACTCTACGACCCTAGTACATACTTATGAGACACCCTATACAAAATGGCAAGAACAAGAAAACAAGCTGGAAAAGCTCAGCCCAGTTTTTGGCATCCTTTCAATGACAGCTGGAAAAAGGGGGAAGATGTGGCAGATACATTGGGAGATGGAAGTGGAGTAAAGCATGCAGCACTGCCAGGTGTGATAGTGCATAAGTTCAGCTAGCAACCCTATTTCCATGTCAAATATTGCCTCTATCTCCATTTGTTAATAAATGATCCATCAGTTACAAAGGCTGGAAAGAAAGTGGCAACTCTGATGGACACAAGGCAATCTGATTCAGGCTAGGTGCTGCACATGTGCTTAAAGGTGGAATGTTCAAGGAAAATGACAGTTGCTCATGCCTCCCAAACAGTTAGCAAATGTTAGAAATCAAAATCCATAAAAAGAATGTTTCATTAGACATAAATTTTCCAAAAAATATACTTATCTGTATTTGTCCATATCCATCTGCATGCAATTTCCACAATTTCCACAGTAATCAGGCCAATAAGCAAAGTTTGTATTTGAGGAAGTCTGAGCCCATTTCTTTTGAAGTACAACATATAAGACAACACATGATGGGTGGAACATATCTTTCACAGCTAATTTGTGTGTTAAAAAAACATTAATTGTATACTTCCTTCCCTGGGGAGTTGAAATCTTACATTGAGATCATGTCACTCTAGTGCAATGTTTGTTACCTAAGGGTGCTGCACACTCTTGCTTATGGAATGGCCAAATGATGCCTCATACTGAGTTAATTATTTTCCTAGGTCTTTGGAAGCTTTCAAGGTGCAAGCAACAACTTTCACTTCTTGCTCATTTTGACATGAGAAGCAACATGAACATCAATCTTTTTCTTTAACAGTAGAACTCATTACTGGAAACGACTGGGCAAGATGGAAGTTTCCAGTCGTTTCCATTAAGCATCGAGAAAGGCATCCCTCATATACTGTGATTACAACAGTACCTTCCTCTGCTCAGTTAAGGGTGCTGCAAACCAATCCATTGCCATCAGTAGTTCAGTCAAAACTTTTAGACCCCCATTGCTTTCTTGCTCCCATGTGGTGTCAAAAGAATTTCTGAAAGGATGAAAGTGAAAATGAAATCTGAAAAAACATGTTGCATAATGGTGCTCTGAAAGTTTTGACTGAACTGATTTGGTTTGCAAGCACCCCATGACTTCAGCCATCTTTTGAAAGCTAGATTTTTCATGATGGAATTACTGTCATCACATGAATTCTGTACATACCTCATCTCGGTCAGGATCATCAAGTCCTTCTGGTCCTGATATTCGAATGATCTCATCATCATCATCAGTGTCTTCTTCTTCTTCTTCTTCTTCTTCTTCTTCCTCTTCCTCTTCCATATCATCTTCTGATGAACTGTTTTCTCCTGTTGTGGTTGGTCTGGGAAGTAGAAACATTCATAAGGTTTTCCCTAGTCCTCTAGCTGGACTGCACAACTTTTAGCATAAATCACCATAAAAAAGTAGAGCAGATGTCAATTGACTTATACAGGGTGTTCCACAAAAATGTTCACCATTTTAAATTGCCATAACTTCATTATAATAAGCATCCACTTCAAGCTAAAACAAAATCACAGAGAAGCAGTATATCCTTTCCTTTGCTGGACAAAAGACACCCCATGTTTTTGCCATTTCATCCTATCCTAAACTGTTCCAATCATCTGACTTTATTTTTCTCCATGTTCCATAAAAATTAAGTTAAGGCTCTTGGCCACAATAGGAGCAAGAAGATATGAAAGGATGACCTCATATGAAATAACCAATTCATGGTTGCGATACCAATAATACCTTCATAGTGGTGCTGAACACAGTATTTCAGGCAAATTCAGATGATACAAGGACATCCACCTTAACAGATTAATTTTTTACTTTCTACAGCAGAAAGCAATTGAAACACCAGCTCCAATATGAAACTGTAAACTGAAGTTCCTATGCCAGTCTGGAATATGGAAAGCTCTGGAAGGAAGATTCCACAGCATATAGCAGTTTTACTGAGTGATTCATAAATATTCACATTTTAATGTTTTGTTCTCTACAAGGTGTGATTCACACAAGAGTTGTTATCCAAGTTCTAGGAATAATTACTATATAAAACTGCAAACTAGATATAGCAATATCTAGTCCACATGAGCACTTTCTATATAGTCCCCTGTAACTGCATGGCATTGTCCCCATCTGTGAAGCCACTGCTAGAAGAGAGAAAGGTCAAATTCATTATGTTGCTAGTGACACCAACAGGTAACTTCTGCCTGCACATCATTTGTTGATTGAAAATGGCAAGTGGCTTGCCATTTAATAGGTTAGTGTTGCCTTTGGTTACTTATGCCATGCATTCATTCCTTAGTAATAATATTTTCCTTTAATTTTGACATTACACTTATGCATATTCTAACATGGCACTCTCATGCAATGTGTGGAGCTATTAAATAGCATGAAATGCAACTGGAAAATTGGCCATGTGAGTTCATCATCACAATTCCATGCAACCAATTGCTGTTAAAGCTATGAAACTTCCATTAGGTTTAGATCATATCTAGCAGGAACTAGGTCCCAATATTAAGTGCTGAAGCATTCTTCACTTGGAGAATAGACTGGCATCAAACATGATGCCAAACAAAACCTAACAACGAAGTAAGGAAGTTCACAGTTGATGCAATCACAGCTAGGAATTCCCCCCCCCCCCCCCCCCCATGATCAATTGTATTTTTGCTATTTTGATTGCTGAGGAGAATTCATGGAGTTAAGCACTAAAATGAAGCACCATGGGTTGATTTAATTAGAGAATTATACAATATGCACATAACCATGATTAGTGAGTGAAAGCTTCACCAAACAGAAGAGTAAGGCACTCCAGGGACTCTGAGCAAAATGAGTGCATTATCAGTAGTAAAAGTTTTAAAAAAAGTAGTAGCAGATCATCAACTAAGCCTCTCCATAGAAGATTCCTCAAGGAAGCATGGGCATTCTTATTATACAAAACATTATGGATCCTGACAATGTCACTGCCCATATTTCAAGTTTTCATCACTTGTAAAACGCTATTAAAGCTTGGGGACAAAAGAGGATCCATCCTCAGGAGGATTAGTTAAAAACAATAATAATACTTTTTTTATTTTTAAATTGGACTATACAGGGTGACCAGAAAGTTTCTGGACACCTTTTCAAAAGGCAGTTAATTTTGGTGGGAACGTTAATTTTCTGCAGAGAGCATTTCTTAAAAATCATTTTACTTTTATCTGTTGCACAGAGGTCAGTTTTTGGATATCATGCCCAAATATTTCTTTTTAAGGCCACCCTTATCACAGCATGGGATGGTATCACTGTTGAAATACTGCGTGCAGTTGATCAGTTCCCAAAACAATTGACATAGCGCATCAAAGCAAAGAGAGGACATTTTGAAAATGTCTGATTAAATTAGTTTAAAATTCAATCATATTTTCAGGTGAAAATGTTTGTTAGTGTGCCTCTGAATATAATATTTGATTTTTAAAGTGTCTGGAAACTTTCTGGTCACTCTGTATTAAGAATACATTCTCAAAGTGACACTACTCCACATGAGGTGATACCAATGATTAAAAAAAAAAACAGTATGAGAAAGGTTATTAGTTAAAAATCACTGAGTATTTTATAATTTAATGGAACGACATGTAAATTAATGAAAAGTAAGTTCATCCTCAAAGGATAATAATCTATATTTAAAAAATGAATAGAATAAAACACCTTGAATAATACTTACAATGCTCTATCTGCATCGCTGTCATCACTGGAGTCAGATTCTTCTATTGCAAATGTCTCATCCCCATTTTCATCATCATCTTCATTGTCTTCTTTTCCTTCTAAGAATTCTCGATATAACTTCTCGTCAGCATTTGAGAGTAACTTAGATGCAACTGACTGAAAACAGCCATTCTTGAGTTCTTTGCTAGTACCTTTCACTTTTGTGGTAGTGCTGGAAGTACTTGAGCTGCTGGCACTTGTCCCCATGCTGCTATTACTACAACTAACGTATGAGTTAGCTTCATGGGAAGTGTATGCACTAGTTTCATCTTCAGTCTTGAGATCTCCATTCATCACCTTGCCACCACTCTCAGTGATTTCCACTTCATCAATGTTCCCTTCATTGAGATCTTTTTTCACAACACAAGTCTGTTCTTTGCTTACTTCTGCATCTTCTTCAGAAGAGCTGACAACACATGGATTTCCAGATTCATTCAGGGTTTCTTCTGCAGATGAGGTTTTTGACAAGCTATTGGAATCTGATGTTTCTCCTCCTACAAAAAAATCCAGAGACAATTGTCAGTTATGTGATAAGAAAATTGCTCAGTCAACTATATATGCCAAAGATAACCTATAGAGAAGGAAAGGAAATTTGGACAAATCTTGCACAAAGTGCTTAGACAAATCTTGTGAAAATCTAGCACAAAGTTTGCCTACCTACATTAGAGCTCTTCTATGGAATACTCATAATCCCAATGAGAAGCATGTTTACATAATGATGGTACACTGTTGGCACCCACAGAGCTTGATTAAAATATGAAATATACTTGAAAAAAAAGCACTATCAAGGTGTTGAGTGATGTTGATGAGATTTGGTACACCAGTTGATAGCAGAGTGAAGAAATCAACTGGAGTTTCAAAGGTGTAGGATTATTAACTACAGAGAAAACATGCCAAACGCTTTAATTTAAATGGGGACATGGGGAGGGGGTATATACCAATTTCACAAGATGGTAACGTGGGAGTTTGTCAATCAGGCATGGTTCATGAACTCCAAAAGTGTCAAGGAATATCTAGAAAATTTTCAAAGTCATAGTGAGGTAGGGAAATCTTACCTAACATAATAGAAAGGGATAGCATCATTAATAATGCCAGTTTCCATGTCCTTTTCCATTAAATTCCTTCAATATTGGGTCATTTTTGAGCATCTAACTATGAAACCATGCCAAGAAGAATCTCCAAAGGCACTGTGTTCCTGTGTTCCATTGATGTAAGTTAAGCTTATGCAAGCTTACCAACTGACCTGGTTTGCTAAACCATGTTTGTTCTTTAACCCCTTGCACCATATGAATTTTTTTCCTAAGAAATGGTAAGAAACAAAGCACAATTCTAATTAGCTCCCAGATGAGCATATTCATGATCCTAAGTCAATCACATTATTGAGCACTGCTACCACTGCATCCAATATTGGGTCATCATGTTAGGGTATAATTTTGCTACTAATACTCATGAATTTTATGGAAAAAGAAAATATGTCCAATAATTCACCTGCCACCATCCTAAAAGTCCCATTTAAAAAATTCAATTAAACCAATTTTTTTTTAAATTGAACATTATTCATGGCAAAAGGTCATGGACACAGTATTTTGGTGTGCTCATTCAATAAGGCAAATCTGGGAATTACACAACACTCATGAAACTGGAGGGTAATTCCATAACATATCACTTTCCCACTGTATTATTTCCCTGTGGAAACCTCAATCGGCACCCTGTCTAGTTTAATGGAAAGAGCCATATGTACTGACGTCAATGGGGTCACTGTCCCCTCATCTCTACTGGGTAAATAATTGGTGGTGGGCAAGGGAAGCAAGGTGCTCCTCCTCATTGAATACAATGCCCAAAAGTTAGAGTCCAATTGTTGGATAAGTGTTGAACATTATCTATAATTATATTTGATGACATATGGTACTGTAGACTGCTTGTCCATGCAGTCCTCTGAGAGTTTTGTGACTGAACAAGAGGTAATTCATACATTCATCTCTTCAAATATTAGCAGTGCAGACATCGCAGAATAGTCTGATTGGAATATGACTATCGGTGAATTCCATAACTTCTTGCTGGAACATTTCCTGTATTCTCTTGACGGCAAGATGTTTAATTTTGCACACTTGTCACTCAGTCTTCTGTTGTGCTTATGCAGGTCGCATCCAACTTTGAATTCATAGTTACCTATAATAAGTTGGGATATTGAAATTCGCAAAGAAATGGGAAACCCCAAAGGTAAAACCAAAAATGCAGCAAGGGCCACAGGACAAAGGAAATAGCCAATAACAATCAGCAAGGATAGGACAAGCAATAAGTATTTGCAGGAAGATCAAGAAGCAGTAATTAAGGCCACAAAGTCTGACAGAATTGGCTTGCATGGGACTCCAAATGTATGGATTGCAACAAAAACCATAAACGATAATAGAGGAGGGTTGGCAAATTATGTTTCAACATTGGAAATCAAGAGTATGATAATTTCACTGTCTTGAAATAAAACATCATTAGGATAATTTATAGTATACATTATAAGTCCTTCCCCTTTTAAACACACCTTGAGGCCCACTTTCCATCACTGAAAAAAAAAGAGAGGAAAGACAAGAGACACCCTTTACTTGTTGTGGGGAATCTCAGAGACGTCCTTTTTCACTTTGTTCAGACGAGATGTTGTTTTGTACTTTATACCTGAACTCCTGATAAATCTGAACATGGGAAGAATTATTATCCATCATTGCTAAAGTTAAGGGCCTGAAAACTCATAACTTCACCCTTGAAGGGCGAGGGGACAAGGAATAAGTAAGGGTTGCAGAATTCCCAGAATAGTGTTGCAGCTTTAGCAGAAGGAGCAGAATTAGCTGAATGCTCATCGGGAAGGATGATCACGACAAAATCTAACCCTGGACATTCAAATGAGAGATATCCCGAAGTTTCATCGAAGGTATAACACAATATGGTCCTGTGCACATAGATGCCATCAGTTTCAGTGAAACAAGGGAATAAATAGTTGAGAACCAAAGTTGTTGAAGAATTCACATATTTGCCCTAATGCAGGAAATAGAATCTCTTTAAAAGCTTTGGAAAGAGGAATAAAAGATTCATTTAGCTTGAATAGTTTGAGAGAGAAATTCATGCAACAAGACTCACAGCAAATCATATAGAGGTAAAAACAACTTAGTGACCCAATAACACATCTGTGACAAGTCAGTTATATAGTCAGTAGAGAGTGGTACACAATAAGGCTAGTAAAATAATAAAGTTTTTGATGATGCCAGGAAAGAGACATATCACTGCTTGAAGCAAGGGGGTGACTCACAGAGGTGGATGCATTCAGCCTATCAATTTGATGAGTTTCTTGAATTTACCATTCTTTCTGTATTTTCAGAGTTAAAAATAAAAAATTGAACCTTGTGTGAATGGATCTATTAGCCCATCAAAAAATACAATTCTAAATAGATTCTGCATGAATATGGGGTACTCATACTTCAATTTATGGTGTTCTATGCAATGAATGGTAACACTGGCAATTTAAAAATTTATTTTAAGCCTTGGTACTTAATGAGAAAGTCTTGCATTACTGGAACAGAAAACAATGTGAAAACAAAAAAAAGGAATTAAAGGTCATTTTGATGAGCAAATAATGAAGGAAGCCATGACTATAGAAATATCTATCACTAGGTGGATATATTGTGAGGAAAGTGGTTTGGAAGGGCAGCTTTCTTCACACTAAACAAATCAGGATGTAAGGATGAAGGTAATCTTTCCTCACAACATATGTAAAGAAAATGTCAGGCTGCATACCAATGTATTGAAATTGGTTTCTGATCTTAGATAATTTTCTTTCAAACTATTCATCTAGTCTCTTAGTTAATTGTTTTAAAATTATTTATGAAACATTAAAGCTTGTACATAAAACCAGAAGGTAAACAATAAAATACATAAGAAGATGGAGCGCAAAAGAAATACTAATTTACAATTTGCAAAATGTCTGTTGTAGCCATATGAGTTTCTGAAGAGTTAATTTTCTTTCTTTGTTCACAGCATACCATCTTTCCATACTCTTCCAGGCATTTAACCCTAATCCGGGCAAGGTAAGTCTGCTGGACTCACTACGACATATTTCGGTCTATTACTGTCATTATTTTTTTAAACTATCAGGACCATTGAATAAATTGTCTGTATTATTTTAGTTACTCATGACAATAAATATTCTTATGTATGGCATTCCGCAGCAAACGGCCTTATTTTACATGAGTCTGACAGACTCACCTTGCCCGGAATAGGTTGTAAAAAAGCTTGCCAGGATGAGGGTTAATCATGGTTAAATACTATGAGAAATTGCACACAACAACTTACCATCTTCAGTATCAGACTTCCTCAAAGATTCCATTTCTTCCTCTAGGTCCCTTAACTTCTCTCGCACTTCCTCTGTCGCAATTGTTTCATCAAATGCAATGAACCCATCCACCAAAGCCTGAACTATATCATCTTGTTCATAGGCTTTAATTTTTTTAATGAACTGTGGCAAGTTTCGAGAACAATACTCGGCCACTTCACAGCCTCCATGGCCATCATAAACAGCAAAGAATGACGTGTTCTTGTCAAAATCAAGGAGGCAATTATGTGCATCCTGAAAATAAAAATAAAAATAAGCCCATCAGTATCATCAAATGTTATGTTGACATGAAGTGCATTGAAACAGGTAAAAAAAAGTCATAAATCAAGTTCCAGAAATGGTTTTACCATATTTGTCACTAACAAGTTAAAAAACAGGAGTTTCACATTTGATCAATTCTTATTCTCTGGAAATATCTATTTAAGTGCAGTATATATGCTTTATACAGTTACCAGAAAAATGCAAATCTGTGCAGTTTTACTTAGGCTGGAAAGAAAAGGAAAAAAGAAAACAAACCTCCTGGAAGGTCCGCCATCCCTGCATGGAGCACGAACCATACCTAATCCTTCCTCCATCACCATCACTGGAATCCTTCTCTGTCTTTGGTGTAGATAGATATGCACCCATTCTCTGAAGCAATGTCAGCAACAGCCACTTCAAAATTTTTTTTTCCTAAATGCAGCTTTTCCAACGGCAAGTCCTCTCTCACAAAATGAAAAAAGTTTGTAGACTAGGGTTAAAAGCCAACAAAGTAGACAAGATCAAACTTTTCTCCAAAACTTGATGCCATGAATCTGTCAATAATCAAATGAGAATAATTCAATGGTCTTGAAAGTAGGCCTAAGAATGCCATTCAACACTAACAACTTTCTGAGTAGCAAATTCCTAACACTGTAAAAATACACATCCAATCAAAACATGCTCCAGGTTTCTTTGAAATTGTGGTTTAAACTTGAAAAACTGCTCTTATTGAAGACCTCAAAGGATAATTAGCTTACTATGGAAGGGCATCATCTACAGCCTACAGAGATTCTGAAAGATAATGCAGCATCAATCCAGATGAGAGGAAATTGAATGATTGTGTTTTATTAATAAGCCATAGTCTACATCAATATCAATTATTTGGCTGATGACAAAAAACTTTGGGTGTTCATAGATATAAGACCAAGGCATATTCTGTCATCCTTGGGAAATGGAGATTCTTTCAGAAGAAATTAAGGCAAGCCTTACAGTCCTATTATCTTTAGCGGACATGTCTGGTAGTCCCTATCAGCCAGGTTTTGGAACGAGCCAAACAGAAACCTTTTATTCTATTCCTATGACAAAAAGCAAAAAAAAACAGCAAAAGAGGATTTTAAACTTTAAAAATTGTACTTTCAGATGAGATGATAGCTAAAGCAGTTTATTATAATTATCTTCTGAAGATGAAATACATTATCATTATGAGATTCAGACAATGGAACAGAAATTGGCAGAAAAACTGCTGCAAATCTGCATATTGAAATGGAATCATTGTTCACCTTTAAAAAAATTTAGGTTGAAGGGAATTAGGGTCAATGATGGTAGCCTAACAGTGTACTTCTGCTTCCAGCAATAACAGTGATAAGATAAGATTTAAAAATAGCTGAAACTGGGTTTAGTTATGTCTTAACCTTATGAAGTTGTTTTTGGTAAAAATTTCAGTAAGGGCACTCTGGTCCTATGCAGCAAGAACAGGCATAAACCAAGAGGAAAAAGACTCACAATTACTACTGGAATTTTCCTGTTGAATTTACCACTTCTAAATTCTGTTGATGCCCCATCATTGGTGCCTTGGTGACAAAGGCATACCCCTACCTCTACCCCACTGCTATTATTGAAAAGTGTCTGAATAAGGATAAGTTCATTAGTTGTGAGTCCTACAGCAATCACAATTTCTTTTTAAAGATGGGCCATGCAGCAAACACACAAAGGCACAAGAAAAAAGACTTCAACTGCAGTACACTGAGAAGTAGTGCCTGCTTTATGTGGGATCATAACCAAACACAGTCCCTCTGACAGAGATGCCCCCATCCATGGCCCTTCAAGAAGCCTTTCAGGCAGTTCCCAAGTTGCCTGAATCAATGACAGCACTACATTTTAAAACGTACCATGCCTGCACTGCTTCAAAATGCAGCATACAGAATGGCACATGTGTTAGTCTGAAGCTATACCTAGTTTTCAGATATATACCCCACAGAAAGGAGTTAGGTTGTCCGTTAACAGAAAAGAGCCCCCACTGTCAAGACTCACTCCAACACATACAAGGTTTGGGTCAAAGTATTAACCACTTTGACATCAAGATAGATTCTTCATGAAAGACTGTCCTTTTCTTGGTTTAATCTACTAAATTTTGATCCTGTACCTCCCTAGGTTCTTTCTACTATGGGTATTGCACCTCCTTACAAAGTCTTTCTCAATTATCAAGGTCATTTTGTGCTATGCTTACAATCCTCCCAACCCTAATTTTTCACAAAGGATAACCCATTACTTCATTTGCTTCATTTTGCCACAAGGAACTGCTTTAACTGCTAATGTCTTTCCTTAAAAAAAGATGAAAAGCAACTCAATCAGATGGTAATAGGGAGGGTAGAAAGTCTTTTTAATGCTTCTCTCCTTATTAGCTTTCATGAATAACTGTTTCTAAAAACATTTTCTGATTAATACCCTCTCCCTATTTCATGCTTTACATCTATATCTTAGGCTTGGCCACTTCATACTCACTTCGACTTTCTTAAGGACCTATTCTAGAATCTAAGATATTCTTGTTATAAATGATGCAGAACAGTAAGAGATGCACTTTCTCAGCAAGATCAATATCTTTTACTTGGAAAAAAAAAAAACTCTGGTAGGACTCATTGTAGCACAATGAAACTCTAAGGAAACTTAGCTAGTAATAAATGTTGACTCTGAATGTACAATAAATCAAGTGCATACAAATGGTATCCCCATAAATTAGCCCAAACTTCCATTTCCATTCAAACACAATACCTGACAATGGTTTTTAATATCAGGTACCATCTACTTTGTGATCCACCAAGACAAACATGTCACATAGTATCAGACCCCCCTATAGTAAAACAAGACTCACTGCTTCCTTACTCTCCGAACAGTATATTTATTACTCCTATATTCCTCACAAAGAATGTATTTTTCTCAGGGACAAGTCATTCCCATTATTTTTTGGGGTAACATTCATAATATTCACTTGAATTCTCCATACAAACTCCGAATGCTGGTAATCAGGAAGGCGAGTTCTTCCTTAATACTACGGGATCGTGGTAACAGGTTGACGTTCAGCATTAACGGGAAGTTGCCACGTCCTATATCAGGCCTAGCTCTACCGTCCCCGGACTGGTCGAACTAAATTACTACTGGGATAGATTAAGCACAGGCACGGTGTACCCTTAGATGTGGTTTGTGATCAATTCCCTTCCGGCTCCCCTCCACCTAGGCCTACGGTATCCCGCGCCACCACACCACCTCTCACCCACAGCATGGCCCATTCTATCTGCAGACCACGAATCACAAGCAGGCCGGAGGAACAGCGACTGCGATGTGAGTGTTCTGTGGCGGGTGATTGCAGTCAATCAATAATATTTTCTCATATTCGTCACAGCACTCTTTTTGCGATAAAGTCCATAAGAAATGGATTATTGAACAGGAAGCTAAATATCTTTCTTTTGCAGTTTCTTACTTTTCCTTGAGGTTCTACTACGAGAATGAAAGCACTCTTGATTATACTGACGGGAAGTTGCTGAATCGAAGAAACGCTAAGATTGGGCCCCTGGGCTAGGAGTAGTCTGGCTTTTGATTACAAACCCATTGACAAGATGTAAGCTGATAATAGCCGATAGAGTGCTGTAGGCCAAGGTCTCCTTGGGATTTTCTGAAGCTTTAGAAGTTTCATTTCGAGACCTACGATATAGGGAAGTGAATATTAAGAGAATTGAGTGGATGCAAAAAACTTTTGTTGAAGAGAATGTCATGTATTGCATGCTAACGTTAGGCCTAATTGAGTCGGGGAAATCGAGTCGTTAAAATAGAGGTATTGGGGAAATCTGTAGCTTCCCACGACCTTATTTAATGTCCAGCGCGCTTCTTTTTTTTATTGACCTTTACCTATGACCTACCGTTCACAATCCATGTTTTTGCAGATATGAGGTAGACCTAGTTGTAAAGCATGAGCCTGTTTCGACGTGGTGTCGAGAGTCTGGGAATGACACTTAATTGGGTACTGCCCTTCACGGGAAACAGTCACTGTCACCATAGAGCATAAGTGAAGCCTTCTCTCATGCCACTGGAATCCTAGAGCGTCAAGGCGTTACATAATTTCAATGCAAGATAGCTTATATTTTCTGATAGGAGTCAGCACTGAAATAATATTGTAGTGGTTAGTAAATAGGATTGCATCAATGTAGCCTTTGTGTGTGGGAAGAAACAGTAGTGACGGAAGCCACAATGCACAATATTCATCAACAGAATTGGATGCAGTTATAGGACTATTGATGCCATAGCCCAATTGTTTCTATCACAGTTCACTTAAATACATCTATTTCAGATGGGATGAGAGTACGGAATGCTCAGGAAATGCACGAACATTTTGCCATTTACTGATGCCACTTATGCAGACTGTACATCGTGGCAAGATGATGGTGCTGATTCTTTGGCCAAGAAATGGCCTTGTTCTTGGAAGTGCAGCATCCTCTTGGCTTTATTGGTGTTCGTGTCAACTGCTGCATTATTCTATATTGATGCACCAAAAGCTGACTTCATTTGGACATTGAGGCATAACTATGAAGGAAGCAAGCCATCATCATTAAGTGAAGTCATTGTGCAACACAGTCACGCTCGCATTCGTTTTCCCAAAACAAGTCGTCGTTTACCACAATGTATTATCATTGGAGTTCGGAAATGTGGAACAAGAGCTGCTCTGGAAATCATGAATTTGCATCCTCAAATTCAGAAAGCATCTGGTGAAATTCACTTTTTTGATAGAGACAGCAACTACATCAATGGCTATGAATGGTATCGCAAAAAGATGCCTTTTGCCTTTGATGATCAGATTGCAGTAGAAAAAAGCCCCAGTTATTTCACATCTCCTGATGTACCTGAGAGGATCAAGCTGATGAATGCTAGCATAAAGTTAATCCTGGTTGTACGTGACCCAGTTGAGCGATTGATCTCTGATTTTACTCAGGTCACTGAAGCCAAGAAAAAGAGGGGAAAATACACACCACTCACTTTTGAAGAGCGCGTCCTTACACCTTCTGGAAGGGTGGACACTGATTATAAAGCTGTTAATATTTCCAATTATGCAATGCATATGCAGCGATGGTTACAGGTCTTTTCTAGAGATAATATACACATTGTGGATGGAGACAGGCTCATCTTAGATCCAGCAGGAGAGATGTATGATATTGAAAATTTCCTTTGCTTAGAACATCGGATTACAGAAGATAACTTTCAGTACAATACTACCAAGGGATTCTATTGCCTCCGAAATGGAACCATCAACAAATGTCTGGCTGATTCAAAAGGCAGAAAACATCCAGGTGTTGATCCAGTTGTGGTATCAATTCTTAGAGATTATTACAGGCCTTTCAATCATGAGTTTTATAGACTTGTTGGAAAAAACTTTGGTTGGCTACAGTGATGAGATTCTCTTGCATGGTATGTTTTCACTGCTTATCTTTATGAAGAAGAGACTCATGAAGCCTTAGGCATATAAGCCCAACTCATGATATTCATGATTTTGGTGTGAGTCATTCTAGTAACAGTATTTCATGGTTTCTTTTTTATGCAACTGTTGTTTACCTACTGTCTCACAGTGGAATCCCTTTTTCTATTTCATGCGTTCCAGCGTGCCTCAATTTTTGTAGAACAGGTTTTACTGTTATCAATTGTGATATAAATGTTTACCACATGTGGTACAATGCATATTTTGACTATATTATGTGCCATGGCTTCTTTGTCTTGTTGGTTTATCATCTTCCATTTAGAAGATGCAACTGTAGTTTCTTTTTATTCTACTGTCATTATCCATCGCAATTTGTCAGCATTTTTATGGTCATTGTGGGAAAGTTATTGTCTTCCCTCTACAGTGGAAAAGGCTTGTCCATTACATATCATGATCTTTATCAGACATATCATGTACAGTATATCCTCATTCCCTTTGAATGGGATCTTACATTTGTTGCCTCTGAATCAACTTGAATGCCTATAAAATTACCTTTAAGTACTTCATTCCTAGGGATAAGGGGGTCATAACTCACACCCTATTTTTGAAAAAAGCCTTCTATGTCAAACAAAATTGGGGAAAATTTGGCAGTATACCAGGAACTAACAATTATTCCTCAGGTATATTTTAAAGGTACATTGTTTTAGATATATACTGCCAATGAAAAAAAAAACTTGTTTTGGGGATCTTGCTAACAGTATTGGAAAATAGGCATTAGAAATCTTTCACCATATTACACTTGAGGCATGACAGTTATCCAATCTGTGTGCATTTACATGTAGCCTGCATGGTTTTGTCAATCTTCCAGGCAGAGGGCTTGTTGGACTTGATATCTGCTATTTGTATCTGTGAGAGGGTGTTTGCCACTCCATTAAGTTGATTGAAATTGCTTATTCTACCTAGAATGCTTGATGCATTAGGTAACAAGTTGCTGAAAGTAGTACAGTGGAAATTTTGTTCTACAGTCTTTGCCAGCAGTTGTCTAAAATCTGATTGCTTGCTCCTTTTTAAAACAAATTGACATTTTTCTGTTTGTACACTTAAAGTGGATTGGAAAAATGGTCCATGTTCTTAATAGTTGTTATCATCTACAAATGTTCTCTTGCCCTCATTTCAAGAGAAATTATAAATCATAATGCAATAAACTAATACAAAAACATTTTGTGTTGATTTCCTTCATTATTTATTCCACTTCCAGGGTGTTGACAGTGATTCACTGTGTGAAGAGGGATGCCTCCTGCTTTGTTCTGTGCTCAGTGCCTAAGTACATGGTGCAGAGGCCACTAACTACTTGAGAACTAGGAAAGACTCCTTAGACTCTGCCGACATGATCTGTTTTGTCAACAGCAACCTGCAGGAACAATCCCTTCCACCCCAAAATCCAACATGAAGATCGAAAGGCAGGAGTTGACCACAAAAGTATGTGTAAGACTTACATACAGTAAAATGAAAACCTTAATCCAAACCTGCAGCTTCAGCTGAAGGAGCGTGGTGCTGATATGCTTACTTGGCTGCAACTGACAGTGCTTGTTACTCTAATGATACACTTTCCTCTCTCTGAGCCTGTTGGATTGTAGATACTTTTAACTTTCACTATATGAAAACGAAAAGATTTTTGCACGAGACGACTTCATCCCCTGGATACAGAATGGGCAGCCGCTTTGGCCCGACTGGTTGTTGTGTAAAGAAAACTTTGATAGAGCATGAAAAGGCGTGCAGACCAACTAAAAATTCATTCGGTTGTCGCTGCAGCCCCTTCCACAAAAAAAGTTTCTACTCTCCTGCATGAGCAAGAAAGAGTATACAAGAAAGGGATTTCCCACAACACCTGGTGTGGCCTGAATTGGTTGAAGTCAAGACAAAGTCAATGAAGGAAATGTACTCCCTGGAGGTTTAGATCATGTTCTTAGAAGGAAAAGAGGAAACTCTCACACGAACTCCTGTTAACACTTAAATTACCAAGCCTCGAAGTTTCGTGTGTTATAACATAGGCTCCGGGTCAAGTTTGACCCAGCTTGGTCGCTTAAGGGTTAAAAGCTTGAACTGTACGTCAGAGCCGCATACAGTTGCAACAGATTTTTAGTTTAAAGCCACTCGTGCCCGGTCTCAGATCTTACTGCAGACAAGTCACATCCAGGTAAAGCCATGGCTTGTACGATGCTCTCCGATAAGGTCCATAACCTAGGCTCACATTGATCTGCATCAATTGTTGACAAGTCCATAAAAGTAAGGGCCATGTTAACCTCCATCCCAGATCAATAGAAGGTATCCATTAGTCAGTTTATGCCCGCATTTATATCTATGCCCACCACGAGCGTGTAATTCGCACAAGGACATTTTGGAAGTGCAGAGGACAGACACCCTGCCTTCCTTTGCAATCACTACCAATGGGTAATCCTCTTTGACGTTTAGTTCAGGGCGTGCCATTAATGAAAGGAAGATGTGTTTTTGGTTTTGGAGACTTTCTTTGTGAAAAAAGGGAGAATGGCATGAGCGCTTAAGCTTCGTCCATCCTTCAAATGCTGCAGTAGACTATTTCGGTAGTTCTGGAATGAAAATAGAAGAGGTTATTGTAAAATGTTGGGGAAGATTTCAGTTAATAAGAAAGCGGAACTGGTAATAAATAAATGGAATATGTAGGTCTTGTGAGGTCTATATTATTAAGGATGTTTGTGGATGATTCCTGAGTTTTCCCTGATAACTCACACTCGTAGCTGATTGGCAACAATTTATCAAATAATTTTTTACTTAGAGTGTCCGGTATGGTTACACATGCGTTAGTTAAAAACCAAGTAGGATTGATTCTCAATTGCTGCAGTTACAAAAACTGAGTAAAATTTTCTGGTCCAAATCGTATCCCAGCGGTCGCGACGTTCTTTTAGCACTTCTGCAAGGAACGATGCAGAGCTACGAAAGGTCAACATTTGCATCACAGGGTGATAGCTTCATGTGCAGCACGCGTGCAGCTTTTAGCTTTGAAGTCATTTTCTGAAATCCAATCTCAAGGTTTGCCACGGGGAAATGAAACGGATAGCAAATATTGACTTTCCCAACTGCCGCCAAGGGTTGCATGTCCGATCGCGCAATTAGAATCGAAAATTTTTAAGTTCTCATTTGATAGTGTAGTCTCCGTATTATGAATATAATCGAAAGGCAGTGGAGACCAATATCCGTTCACCACAAAATTACGGCCCGGAGAGAGAGTGGATGGATGCTGGAAGTCGGTCATCGATCCTCCTCCAGGTGCCCGTCATTCTTCGGTTTTCGTTTCAGGGTTTGCAAAAGAAAAATGTCATGCCCTCAACATATGCGAGGTCGAGAATTGAATGCGTTTGTTGGGTAGAGCAGTGTTTCCCAAACGGTGTGCCGCCAGAAAGGCTTAGGTGTGCCGTGAGATTTGAGAGTGGACAAGAAAAAAACTAAAAACCGAAAGCTAAAAAAAACTTAAAAGCAAGAGGGAAAGCCGTCTCTCAGTGGAAAACGAGCTTAGAGTTCATAGAGTTGCACTATGACGCCTCGTATCAAACTGCTGTGTTGAGCGAAGCAAGCACAAGTTTCCCATTGAAAGTAAGTAAATGGCTGGGTGTGCCGTGGAAAGTTCAAGTGTCCTTATATGTGCCGCAAATAAAAAAAAGATTGGGAACCACTAGGGTAGAGGATTCGTGGAACGGGTTTTACTGAAGATGTTGTGTCTGCCCCTTCTCGATTAGCGTCAAGAGGTAGGCACTAGACAAAACAAAGAATGAAGCCGACGAGGCATCGCGTCGGTTGCTTGGCTCAGGTAATAGGAAGACCTGACGACAGACGCGATTCCCTGTCTGACCTCAGCAGAATGTGTCTCGTTGGTTCCCAGTTATTATGGACACGGACAATCCATTACTGCTGTCATGCCGGTCTACCGCACGAAAATGTGGTTGTGCAGTGGTTCCGAGATGCCACTGGCTGTGAAAGATTGGGTGCAGAGGTGCGGGCAGAATTGAGTACTGTTGAAAAGCCTGGACGACCTGTCACTCTCGTTGAACGTGAACTCAAAGCCAACTATAAACTCTACGTTGTCAGGCAATATTTGAAGCGATTCCGTCCGGTTCTTTTTTATTTCTAATAACAATCCTCTGGCTGTAACTAGACAGTAGATTGGCGTAACCACAAGTCAACCTACGGACTCATTGAGGAGAGTCAGATACTCATTCATCTGCATTTTAAAGCAATCGCCCACAAATAGAAGTGATCGAAAGTCCTCACAGTTCTGACGAACAACGTGATTGAGCGTGTTCTCGAACGATGACCGACGAAAGCGACCAGCACATGTTCACATTCCACAGGACTGAGTTGGTGTCGAAACAGGATGTACTGAAGATTTCATTTCTTCGATTCCAATTCTTGAAAATGACTAGGATACTGCTTCCATCTCAGTGCTCATATTTTGGATAATAAATGCCCCCCACCCCAACAACTTATTGAAAACAAGCAGACACTTTAGGTTCACTAGGTGTACTGAAAACTATCGTCAGAACTGTGCTGTGCATCATGTCCCAAAATTGCGGGCCACTTACTTATGAGGTATTTTCATTCCATTTTCATGCATGCCTGACGTTTTTCAACACATGAAGTCTTAGATGAATAAGAAAGATTCCTGTCAAGTTTAAGAAATCACAAACATTGATTCAAACTATTCCGAATTGAAGCATTGAAAATTGCAGCGAAGAACCAGTCTGCCCACTGCTCCTCGCCGGGTGCTTCGGTGCCCTCCAGCACGATTTAACACAGGCAGGCAGTCTTAGTAAAGAAGCTGTGGGCGAAATTCTTTTACACTTCTTATTCACCTGAAGTGGCATGTGCAAAATTGCATGAACCTTGCACAATATCGGATCTGGAAAGATTTAAGAAAATAAACTGCCCCCCCCCCCTCTTTTTAAGGTACAAAGGCCACTGTGACACGGGTGACTTAGGCCACCCGATAATACTATCTACTAGTATTATCAGGTGGCCTAAGTCACCCGATAATAAGAAGGCGAAGACAACTCATAGTTGAATGAAGACCTGAAGGAGGCCTTTAGAAAATATAGTCTATATGAAAGTCCATATTTTTTTGCTGCGGTAATGAATTATACCTCGTAGTTGCCTTTGTCACTAATACACGCCCTGTACACCAGCATACGAAAAATGGGCCTCAGTCATGCTCATCCCTGTCAGAGGAATGACACCCTCAAGCTAATCCTCATTTCGAAGGGTACTCCGGCTCAACTACAAACACAAGGCAAGATTAAGGTTTCAGGCGCCCCGAAGCAAAACCACTTCCATCCCTTTGCACATCAGGGGAGGGGGGGGTTACCCACAATGAATTCTTATAATCTCATCTCATTTTTCATCTTGACCTAAGGTAGGCGCTCCCTCAATTGAAATTCCCTGAGGCGCGTGTCTTATGAATAATAATTATGATGGGTTATTGCATATCAGGAGAGATAGTGCTAAGCAAACAGGTTTCCATCGTTCATCTGCACAGTAATCTGGCCCCGGAGCATACTGCACCGAGTGAATACGGGATCTGCTGTCTTGTCATACATGTCAGAGGCTGGAAGGAAACTTTCCTCTTCGGAGACTATATTCCCATTAAAGAGGTATCCTGATAAAATGCAGGATTTAAAAACGCATTCCATCCTTCTACTCCTACTCCATGACTTTACTGCAACTCCAACCAACCATGATTAATATCTATACCCCCTCCTGTATATAAGACTTCACCCCACTTCATATCCTTTTCCTGTGTAGGGTATGCCGTGTAAATAAAGGCTATTGAACTAAAATGACGCATTCCATCTGCATCCTTTTAAACTGTCCGAAACACATCTCCTATACTTTCGCCATCATTAGTCAGAGCAGCTGACAAATCATCTAGAGGTTGTCATTAACGATGTAAGATGGCATCATAGTCGCCAACCTAATGGGTCGCCTGTAAAGGAACTAAACCATGCCTGAGATTTATTGCCTACGGTATCCGATTTTTTCCTTCATACGGCATAGAGGAACACATTGGAATCACATTATACTATTATCGAAAGATGCAAGCCAACCCAGGGAAACGTCTTGTAACACTGGCTCCGGATGTCAAGAGGGATCCAGCCCTGAACATAAAAGCTCCAAGGGGACGTCGAAAAGAATAACTGTGAGTTGCCTTTACTTGCATTCTCCTGTAAGCTTGAGAGGGGGTGAAGTCACTAGCGGTGGCATGATTAGCCGCCCTCAAGATAAAAATAATGATCTAATGTTGGGGACGTGAGAACCTCGAAGGTTCTAGGGTCGTAACTAGAAAGCCTAATAGAATCTAACCGTATGGCATCTACGTATTTGATATTTATTAGTGTAACTGGGGCGGCTTTCTGCCTCCTAATAGAGGGAGATTTTAACCGATTCCTATTATAGGTCGGGACCTCTAATAGGTAAAAGCGTTTATTTCATAATCCTTCTCCTTGTGACTTCTTTCATTGCATTCTGAAGACTCAACTTGAGTTTCGTACCTATTTTTCCGAATGAATTGAAGGAAAGTTGTACCTACGAAAATCTGTATTTGTTTCAGTGAAATTCTGACAAAATCCAGTGAAATTATTCTGAAAGGCTCTATGAATCAACTGAAAAAGATATCAAACCTCTCTGCCTCCAGCTTTTCCCTCCTCTTTTCAATCTCCGCCAGTGGCAAGAGGACAAGATCATCTTGATCAAATGCTTGGCTCTTCGCTCCCTTGTTCTTCCTGGTGTCTCTAGAACGGTTTTCTCTGCGACCGACTGAGGCCAAATCAAATGAAGGTGTTGTGTCATATCTTCTTCTTCTTCTTCTGCAGGCGTAAAATATAGCTAACTTTTTCCGTCATTCCCAGTTCGGTTTCAAAATCACCTGAGCCTCTTGGGATAATTGCCAGGTGCTTCCCATGGTGATCTTTCTGAAGAGTCAATTCCTCCCGGAATGCCATGCATAGCTGATGAACTCAGGACGCTCGCAACTTTGTCTTCTAGATCACTGGTAACACCGATGTGGAGACCACCACCACCCGTTTTCCCTGCTTCCTTTTTTGCGCAGCTGACCTTTTTCTTCACTTCGGACTCGACATTCAGCCACTTCTGCCCTTCGAAACGCATCTCCTTCTACCCTTTCGCTTTCATTAGTCAGACCAGCTGACAAGTTACCTGGAGGTTGCCATTAACGATGTAAGATGGCACCATAGTCGCCAACCTAGTGAGTCGCCTGGAAAGGAATTAAACACACCTCTGAAATTTCTCGCATACGGTATCCGATTTTTTCCTTCATACAGCACAGAGGAACACATTGGAATCCCACCGTACTATTATCTAAAGATGCAAGCCAGCCCAGGGAAACGTCAGGTAACACTGGCCCAAAAGCTAAAAGGGATACAACCCTGAAGACGAATACTTGGAGGTGAAAGCAATAATTTGAGGTTCTGGCTTCTCAGTTTTTATTATTGTTGAGAGGGGGCGAGACCATCTACGATGGGTTTCACTCGCCATCCTCGAGATGCAGAAAATGGCATGACGTAGGGGACATGGTACTTTTAAAGTTCTGGTCTTCAGCATCAGAAAACAGGGAAACAGCTTTCTTCAGACCATCAGTATCTAATGGGACCTTAGGCCAAAGGTAACTCATTTAAACAGTCCAAAAAAGGCGCTTGGTTTTCAAGATAAAGCATGCACACCGTTAAAGGTGAGGGATCTCACCATTATTTATTGCGTATGTACATGTTGAAGACGGGGCAGCGCCCTCAAGAAAAACAATTGTTTTGAAGTTTTCTTACTTTTTTATTCCCGATTTTCCCATTCATGTTTATATAGGACACTTTGCCCTGCGGATGAGTTCATGTATAAATGTTGACATGACGTATAACATCACTTTATGTTTATGTGACAACGATATCGTAGAGATGAATAGCGAAGGTAAATACTATGCTCTTGCAACAAAAAATATCTGATAGAATAGGTCATACATATTCAATACAACAGAAGATACTGACGGATAATTCTCGTGTGTTGCAATACAAAGCGTCTGGACAGCCGAGACGCGCGAGTGCGGACGGAGAGGAACAAGGAAGACGCCGCGGTGCACACCCTCAGCACGCCAGGGCTTCCTTATTCATGCCGGACACGAGATGGAAGACGAAATCGGATATCTGCTCCTGCTTGGCTTCAGCCGTTTCTATCACCTCTTCCTGGGTGGGATGGGGCTTATCCGAGTCGTATTCCATGATGCATTCGTTCGTGATCAAACTGAAGGCCAAGACTCGAAGCCCACAGTGTCGTGCCGTCACCACTTCGGGGAGAGTGCTCATTCCTGGAACCCCAACACATGACAGCTTGCTATCATGCTCTTAAATAACAATAAACATGGCAATCACAAATATATATGTAAGGTAGGTCGGGATCCATTATTCTCTGCTCCCCTGCCAGCAATACGTCGTTGATCTCATAACGCTAGTAAGAATCTTCTTCCAAGGGTGAAAATCATTATTCTGAGACTGGTAAACTGCTGAAAACGAAAGCGTAGGTTGGAAGGGTGGAGTTCTATATCGTGCCAAGAATCGGACTAAGATAATTTCTCCTATTCTTCATCAACTACCAGCAGTCATTGCTTGCGATTCCAATTAGCGCACCACTATGCGAGTGAGTCTAAATAATAAGCGTATGATCATGGATAGCTGCAGGACGACGAGCGACTGTCTCTTAAGAGCACCACAATCATTTGTCGGGGTGAAGGATGATCATGGATCAGCAGAGAGAAGGAGACCGGAGTAGAGAGAGCTCTAAATGTTGTACCCCCCGTACAACATTTAGAGCTCTCTCCATAGAGCGTGGGGAGACATTTTTCCAGCATATTCTCGCGTGCCACTCACTACTCCTCTTCAGAAAGCATTACCGAGTCGATATCATCCATACGATCCATGAGCGAGGAATCCCATGCGTTTTTGAACCAATGTCCTTGGAAATAAAAAGAATTAAAATAAAAGTTGCAAGTATTTTCTCGTTTTAAGGTGTGTGACAAGGGTGCTGGTGAACATTTACCCCAAATTCTGACGCCTGGCAGAGTAAAACTTTACAAATTCGCTTTTCAAGTTTGCAGAAGAACGAATTTCACACTTGAGCAGAAAAGAATCTCATTCATCATGAAGCAAAATAGACATCAGATTATAAGATTTGATAATAAAAAATATTCGTTATTGAAGCAAAAACACAAGCCTGCAAGATTTCCTACCCGAATGAGTATTTTTCATCACTATGTTCTTTTTTTCCAGCAATCGTTAAACGAAAGTGTCAATTGGCAAGCCGACACTTGCAAAAATATAAACAGGATGGGATTACGGGCAGAGTCTAGTATTTACAGAAGGAAGCTTCCCGCAATATTCAATTTTCTACTCCCATATCCAGTTCCCAGGAAGATATTACCTATCTCCAATATACTTTTCTTTTTTATTCCAAGAAGCTTTCGTTATGCAAATGCCCAAAATCGAGTTGAAAACCAATCTCTACCCACAATTGGACGAAAGACCAAAAAAAAAATTAGTTCTCACCGACGGCGTCAGCGCCTGCAGATCTCAGGAAGTTGAGTTCAGCTATAGTTTCAAACGCGGGTCCCGAATTCATGACATAAACGCCTTCGTGAAAACTTTCCCTCAAGCCCAGAGCCTCTGCCGTTTCCAGGGCGATTTCCCTCAATTTCTTGTCATAAGCGGTGGTCAGCGACGGGAAACGCACCCCCAGTCTGCACGAAAAGAAAGAGTGGAACCCATCCTCGAAGCAGAGATTTTGATCGGAAACGGAATCTCACTTATCGTCGTTGGGTCCGATTAAAGGGTTCAGGCCGCCGCAGATGCTAGGTAGGAAGAGATGGTCTTTCAGCAGCATGACGTCTCCCACGCGGTAAGTCGGATTCACACTTCCTGCTGCATTCGTCACTATCACGGTCTCTACCCCCAAAAATCGCATGACTCGGATGGGAAGGGCGCACTGTTACGGGCGGGAAAAATTAATGAGATATCTGATAAGATCATCCAGAGAGAGATCCTCTTAATACAATAACAGGACATAATAGACCTTCCAGGTGGGATAACCCTCGTAGAAATGGAATCGACCCAGCATGCATACGACTTCGACTCCGTTCAGGTCTCCGATGAGCAGTGCCCCTCGATGACCGACCACGGTCGAAACGAGAAACCCGGGAATGTCCTCGTACTTTATGTAGACGCCGTTTCGAATGCGATCGCCGATGACGCCTGCGGCAAAGAATGGATTCTTCCAGTCCCACGTTCCGGCCCGAACCAGAAAGGAACTGCTCCGTTCGATCGAGATTCGAGACTTACCCAGGCCCGAACCGCAGACTATGCCTATCTTGGGATTGCATGGCACCTTATTCTTGATGAAATCCGCTATTTTCTTCACCTCTTCGTAATCGAATAAACTAAAAATAGAGGCAGGCAAAAAACTCGAATCAGATTCGCGCGTTATAGCGACGATAAGGATTATTTTTCCTCGGCCCGACAGACCGTTGATCGTGAGCCATGGCAGAGGAGCGAGTCGCACACGAACCACACAGACACGTTTCTGAAGGACGGGATGAGCTGCTTCCTGCTCTGCTTGAAATTCAATCGGAGGAAAGGAAGGGCCAGCGGCGTCTTCTATTGCGCACTGACGGATTCTGACAAGTCCAGGGTCATATTCCATATATAGGTTCTGTCTTACTCGAGGAACAAGCGACGCTGCTCTTCTGACGAATCAATTCGTCTCATTGGAGCTAGTGGGTAAACGGTTTTGACAAGGATCCTTGGCCGAGAGAAGATTCCCAGCCAAGAAGACATGACAGCGTCGTCGTTTGGATCGTGACGCTTAACAACGACACGATGTAGGTATCAGGACACGATGTAGGCTGATACCGGAAAGATCCCACAGAGCATGCCCTTTTCTGAAATGACTTAAAACGTACGCTGTCAAAAATGATTGTGTTAGAACATATTGGTTGCTCACAAGAGGAATCTAATGCTGTGGCCAACGGCGTCAACGACGTATCATCTAGTCCTGCTCATACTTGTAGATGAGGCCTATTATTGGACCGAACGAGGAAAAAGCATGACAGCAGTTGCCCCAGACTCTGCTATGCGAGAGAAGTCCAGTCTTGCGAGCAAGACCTTGCTTATCGCTAATGTCTTATTGGCAGTGGCGTAGTATTTTTTTTTTTTTGGGGGGGGGGGGGGGCGATAGATAGGACTCCCCTTTACATTAGGGCGTTTAGCCAATTTTCTCTGTGAAGAAACATGCAATGCCCTTGAAATGCCAATCGATTTTCACGGTACACATGAATTCGCGTGCCAAATTTCATTGAGACGGCTCAACTCCTTCCTGGTGCTGCAATTTAAATTTCTGCCATTGTTTTTCATAAGAAACAGGCATCCCCTAAATTGCTTTGACAATTGTGTATCGATCAGAGGTGCAAACACATTTTAACGTTGTAACTCATCACAAACCCAGTAGACCGTGAGCAAGGAAGGCGCCATTTTGTCATGGCCATGGACCCCTGCCAGGTACATTCTAATCCACGTTCTCACATACCGAAACGACGACATTCGGCGAGGGATCTACTGAACGTGAAGGCCGTAGCACGGACTGAAGATCTGCTTTCATTCAAGTCAATGAGAAGTGGCGGTGGAGGCGAGGAGAGAAGACGTTAGCCCGAACAGATCCCGAGCCCCAAGACAGTTTGTCCCTTCTTGACTCCTGTCTCACACATTTCGTCTGATCCTATCTCATTCCCTTCCTGCGAGGACACAGCAGAAATTTAAATTGCAGCACCAGGAAGGAGTTGAGCCGTCTCAATGAAATTTGGCACGCGAATTCATGTGTACCGTGAAAATCGATTGGCATTTCAAGGGCATTGCATGTTTCTTAGTTCTTCTATCTGGATTGGTCGTTGCACTCATGATACTTGAATTTTGCCGGTTTACATATGTCTGTCCATATCAACATACATAAATAACAAATACATAATATTGACTGGAAGACTGAATTCAGCTGGAAAATGATTGGAATCTACCGCTTCAATGATGAAATCTCATTGAAACAGCAAATTCCGACAATTTTCCCATTTTCCGATAATTTAATCAAGAAATAAAGAAATATAATAACATAAAAAACCCATCCAATTGACTGCACCATTGTGCCGCAGTCGTTTGAATTCAACTGGTTCGCTAAGTATCGATGACTTGCATTTTTGCAGCTGAGCAAACCCGAAAAAATTTGTTGATTGAAGCCGTGACGCCGCGCGTCATAAGCCTACAAATTGGAAATGTCACATTCCATTCCACAAATTTTTTTTTAGCATTTCTCGGCTGCTCGGGGAAATAATGAATCTCATCCGTGGGTAGTTTTTACGATCTCTGAACTCTCTCCTCCTCGCCTAATGCGTGATGAAGCAACATTTACTCAGGTTTGCGCAGCCAAGGCGCGGTCAGGCGCTATGATTTTGCCCTCATGTGACTTTATGACTCTCGACTCTTATGCAATCAGAGTTTATGAGAGAGCCAGGGACTCACAATGGAGTCGCAAGCCAACTCGGGGGGCCCCGAGACCTTCACTTTCGTACGGTCGCTCACAGGAAAGATGCCCGCGATTGGCTGGCATGGTCAGTCAGCATGGCGTGGAGCTTCCCGTCCGACAAGATGTGAATCATCCCATTTAAGCTGATGGATTCCTTCACGAAGAGACATCTTTATGGATGACGGCTCGAAAACAATATCATTAACACAGATCTTGCTGAAATGGGACCTAAATTTTGGATGAATTGTACTGTGCTTCTAAGGACTAATTGGTAAGTCCTTGGAGGAAACGCTACGAAGTATTTCAACCTGTTTTCTCGCTTCCTTCGAAGCCACTTTCACCCCTAAATACGTCTCTCATGAGTTTAAAACAATCAACACCTGCGAATTTTTCTCCCGAGCAACAGCAGATTGGCTCCAGCTATCACAATTCGTTGCCTATAAACTCCATCCAGATGTGGTCAAGAGCCTTGAAATGCATTGCGCTTGAAAGAAGCTGAGCCTTCACAACTCGCAAGGATTTTTCATAAACCTCTGACCAGCTGCTCATTACAAATGCACTCACACGTGAGATGTCACATATGAGCAAATCATAACGGCTGATCGCGCTTTAAGTCCCGCTCATTCTGCGAAGAAGGGCTTTTTCCAAGCCGAGAGTAGGAAACAAACTTCGCCCCTGATTCGAGATCGAGGCGAAGAATTACGTTCCCCCTCAAGCAGATGCTTCGTCCGGTTGCTGAAGTCATAAAATGACTTCAATCGAAGTCGATCCAGGATGGAAGCAAGGTGTGCTAGGAGGGGGTTTTGCAAAGAAAGGTCAAAAAAGCTGAGCGGTGGGGTATCTCCGGCTGGGAGAGAGAAAATAGCCCGGAATCAGAAGCCCCATTCGTGGCAGAGTTACTCATATCCCTCCTTCTCTGAATTCGTGTCCTCGCAGGAAGGGAATGAGATAGGATCAGACGAAATGTGTGAGACAGGAGTCAAGAAGGGACAAACTGTCTTGGGGCTCGGGATCTGTTCGGGCTAACGTCTTCTCTCCTCGCCTCCACCGCTCTGTTTCTTGTTTGAAAGTTATATTAGTTTGGGACGGGGGACTGCGCTTCGGTAGCACCTATACCAAAAATTTCATCTGAATTTCGTGACAATTCCGTTCACCTGCAGACAGGACAAGATATGTGCTCGAGGTAATAAAGGAGCAACGCAGGGAAAACGTGACCTCCACTCTTCCCATCTCTTAGAGTTGTTTCAGGGAGAGAAGGAAATTCAAGTGCCAGTAAGCAATAAGTACCACGGGTTCTTCTTCAGAACAGTTTTCTAAGTCAAATACGGAAATAAGAAAGTCGAATGTGACAAGGAAATTCAAATGTGCTGCTTGAGAGCGTCAAAAGCAACATAAGGAAAATCAAATGCGACAGGTATAGGAGGTATACCATACTCCTCCCAGGGGAATGGCTTCTCCTTGCATTATCACAAGGTGCGGTTCCAAATTTATTTGTATCTGATGCTCTTATTGCAATTAATCTTATTGGGGGATTATGGATACGTCAGGGTGAGTCCTAGGAATATGCTACCACCCACCATTGGGGATGGGAAGCGATATTCCAAGTATGTAAAAAAAAAAAAAACGAAGGTTTTGGGGCTCTCCTTAAGAAGTGCAACATATTGGTTTCCGCATCAAGTTTAGACATGAGAAAGTCAGTGCGGAATGTAAATTTAAATACATTAGATTGCTTCAAGAATTACAGGGAAGAAAGAGCAAAAGAATGACTGGCGGATAATCAAGAGCGGATTCTCGATTGCGATCAAGTGACTGAGTTGGGGATAGACCTTCATTAGCATCGCCTGCTCATTCTTTCTGAGTTGAGATATGAAGCCACTACCCCCTCGTCAATACGTCACTACGTCATTACGCTTCGAAAATGTAATCAATGGTTCCTGCACGCACTATCATGCATCTCTACGTGTCTGGAACAGAGTGGCATTATGATGTAAGCGGCTAGGCCATAGCTTTCATGACGTGGGGCTGTCACCTTTGACTTTCCTCCCATGTCAGATATGAATATCTTGGAAGTCCAGCGCCCGTAGGCCTGTCTCATCTGATTTTCCTCGTGTAACTCTTACCTCATGCAGGGCAGTGTCAAATTTACGCTTCCACAGCGCATTTGACTCTCATATATCGTTATTTGGGTTGGAATACCTATAATTGCGATCGATAGTTTTCATTCTCATCGATCTGACGTCAAAGGTTGCCAATCAAATTAACTACAATATTGGCGTCAAATCTAAAATTTAAACATCGTTTGGATCAATGCATTTGCACATGGAGCAAAATGGAACCGCAACGAGAAACATGTTGCTTGGCACGGGCGTGAGAGACGGCTGCCGCATTTGACTTTACCTATGTTTACTCGTACATGCGTTTCTTTAATATCAACGATTTCCGAACGGCAACGAATTTGAATTTCCTTGTCGCATTTGACTCAGAAAATCTAAATGATCGCTCCTACGCGTCGCTGGGGCTCAAGTTTTGATTCCAAAGTGGAACCTTTGGTATTTAGTACAACTGGTCCATTGTTAATAAGCCTAGATTGAATTTCCTCTATTTTCTAATGAACATTTTTTTTTTCATTCGTGCTAGTTCAATTTAAAAAAAAGCATGTTCACACTTTCTGTCATCGCTATCAGAAATTAGCGGAAAGTGTCCGAGTATGATGAAGATACACGTTTCACGAACACAGATATGCATCGGTATCTCGAACGCTCTCAGTCGATGCAATCAACTGATTGGGGTCAGGATCTATATTTTAGATGCCCTTTTTTAAATCAGCCTAGGCATAGGCAGTACTTCCCAATTCGAATACTTTCTTTCGACAGTTATGAATCATGAAAAATTTGTCCTATGACCACTCCTCAAAGCTGTGGCGGTTCGTGATATTCAGCAGTAGTGGATTCTCAATGCAATCCACTACTCCTGAATATCACGAGCCGCCACTCCCACTAAGTGTTAATAAGTGTCTCAGAAGGGAGGATTACAGCCATATCTTGGATGAATGTGTGACCGTTAGGCGTCGTGCATATGTGCTCAAGAAGAGCCGTTTAAGATAAGTAGGCTTCTCTCAAGGAAAGAGACACTAGCTCACAGTCAACAGACGTGAAAAGAAAAAGTTTTAAGTGTGGGAAAACATGTTCGAAAGCATTCGATCAACTCTAATCGCTAACTGCATCAACGTCACAGCCTGCGCTTCCCTGACGGAGAAGTCGCAATTCTGATGGGCTCAAGCTGGAACCATGACAGGATGCAAGATCGAAGGAAAAGGATTATTTCTATCGGCATGATTGCGGTTGTGTCGATCGACCCGGACCTCTCTATGGGCGTGACTCCGATTCCAACGATCCATTGTGCGGATTATTCTCGTGAACTCTCTCTCTCTCTCTCTTTCTTGTACTCTTGGATTGAATTCACCCTTCCGGTCTGGGTGGTTCATCCACCGATTCACGCCAACTCGCATTCTCAGGTGCCAACTACGTTCCGTGAGTCTTTCACTCTCATTGTATGCGCGAGTGTGAAAGGATCGTCGAATCCGCCTTCTTAGAAGTCGCCTACTCTGCATTGTCCGGAGGGGGATATCCGCGATCCGCGTGGACTTCCGAGACAAAAGAAAGACGCAAAAGAAGTGGGTCCTCTGGAGGACGCTGTTCTTTTGCATCTTCGGGGGATTTCGCCATTCGAGGATCGAGGAAACGGTCGCGTCGCTACCGGGCTGCCGGCTCGCGCGCCGTCCCGATGCGTTCAAAGACTCGGTTCCACTTGCCCGTAAGGAGAAATTGGGAGGTATTCAGCGACGAGGATGATGGCGCTGGCGATCGCGGAGAGTATCCCCGGAGTTCCGTGGAGATTCAACACGCCGCAAGTGTCGCTGATTCCGAATTTCTTCTCGAGGACCGGCTGGAAATCGGAAAGGAAGCAAGATGGTTACTTTCGGTCGGGCGTGGAACGGCAAACAAAAAGATGAATCGAGAGTCAGACCGTGACAAAGCGAAAGCCACACGTGGAAATGGCCCCGGCGAGGGATCCGACGACGATGGCTCCGAACGGGTGGCGGAGGAGGTCGCACACTGCCCCTGCCCCCACACCGCCGGCCAGGGTAGCGTTCTGAATGCAATCCTATTGCAAAAATAAAAAAATAATAATGAAAACATGGGTCAGGCTTATCTCGTGGGCTGAAGCATGCAAGCAGTCCAAGTAAAAATGTATTGTAGGAATTAGGTGTAAAAATAAAAAGCTAAAATATACCTCTATCGAATTTCAGAATGGGTCGAAAACTTCCACGACTCTATAGCACTGCATTGGACACTTCAGAACTCTATGGAGTCCCATATTGGCTCTGTGAGAGCTCTATAAATTCTGTGAGGTTCCTCTTTAGAATTCTTTAGAATACGGGGTATATGAAAAGTCACTGACTAATTTTATTTTTAATTGTTTTCTTCCATTAGGCTTCATTTTTTAAGGCAACTCTGACATTAATTGATGCGGTAACAATTAGCGCTGGCACTGGCCAGCACGACTCGACCCCTTGTGATTTCTTATGTGGGGCCGTTTGAAAGATAAAGAGCCTGGCCAGTAATGGAAAAAAAAAAATTGGATCGGATTGAGAGTACACCATCCACTGGGACGGTAATGCCGTTCCTTGTCAGATGAAGCCTGAGGAAAATTCATGCCGAGGATCGAAATATGCAATAAGCGAAGGCCGTCTGTGTTGAATGGTTGTTGGGCGGTGGATCGTCGATATTTTGCGGGTGAAACACTTTCCAAAGAATTACTTTTGAATAAATATGAAAGGCTTTTGGTGAAATCATCTGTCCTTGACTTATCAAAAAAGGAAAATAGTCAGTGACTTTTCATACAACCTGTAGAGCGGGAATTCTCTCTTGCCACCACAGACAAGAACAGGAAGGACACATGGGCCTATGTTTACCCCATCAGGTTTTCATCCAAAGCAAAAGAAAAATAAACTCTAAGCAAGAGACATTCTGGAAACTTATCGAGACCATCTGAGCGAAACTTTCTCGACCTTTCTCGTTTGAAATCACTTCCCTCGACCCTCAATCTCGCTCTACCGTCGAGAGACCGCACATCCCCTTTTCGCGCTCGAATTTTCGATTCCGTCCGATGGAGCGAATTACACCTTCCCGGTAAATCGAGAGGCAACGACACGAAACGAGAACGTGGAGAGGCACTAGCCATTGAAATTTTCCCTCTGTGCACGAAGATCGTGATGGCGAAAGTGGAAACGACGGAAGCGGCCAGAGACAGGTAGGTGTTGACGATGGCCGCCTCTTGAGCAGATGGCACGGCCAGGGCGGCGTTGAAGCTCGGCCAGTAGACCCACAGGAAGAGGGTACCTACGGGATACCGGCGCGTTTAATGCCCCGATTCCGACGATTTCCGAACGTCGATGCGATGCATACCGATCATGGAGAAGAGGTTGGAGGAGTAATTGGGAGCCTTCTGCGGCAAGGTCATGCCTCCGACTCCGCGTTTCACCGTCCCCACTGCCAGTCCGAGGGCGAAGATGGCGCCAAACGTGTGGATCACTATGGATCCGCCGATGTCGCTGGCCTGGAAGAAGATTCGTCGTCGGTGACTGGAAGAAACAAGATGGGGGTGCCTCTGGCATGCCGAAGATTCAACTCACTTTGAACTTCTCGTAGACCAGGTACTCATTGATGGCAAAGATGACCATCTCCACCATCGCCATGAAAATGAGCTGCAAGGGCGTCGTCCTCCCCAGCACTGCTCCGAAGGCGATCAACACCGTCGCCGCGGCGATGTCCGCGTTCAGGAGACTGAAAGGGGGGGGGGAAACATTTTACTCTCGATTTCGTTCTCGATCGGCTGGGGATTCTTGACGTTCAACCGCTTCGTCCATCGTCTTCGTCGGGTTCCCAAGAAGTGGCTCTCTGAGACGGTTTCTGAAACATCTTCTTACTCGAGTCGTCGCAGCATCTTAAGAAATACTTGGAAAATGTCTCTACTTCCGTTCCCGACGCCCGGACATCGTATCGTACTTACAAATGAGAAGACCGCGAGTATTTTACAGACAATGGACGTGAGGTATGTCGACACGAAATCCAACTTAAACGTGATGGGGCATAATGCAACTTTCTGGAATTCATATTGCTCATCCTTGACCCATTTCGGAGCGAAACCCACGCCATAAGGAGAGATATCCGGGTAACAATAGAGTCTTACCGTGAAAATGTGCAAACAAAAGCGTGAATCGTATGACAATGGAGAAGACAGAAAGAGAGAGGTATTGTGATCGTGTGGATTCTCCTTACGTGGTGAGTGTGACGTGGATCTTCTCTTCCCTGATCACTCGGGCATGCATGAAGCCTTGACAAAGGATCGCCCATTGGACGGCCAGGGCCCCGAGCAGGAAATTGAAGCCCACGGCCCCGTAGCCGTAGCGCCGCAAGAAGGTCATCAGGAAGCCGAATCCCACGAAGATCATGACGTGGGTGTCCTGAAACACTGGAAGCAGTTCCATTCCGTCGGTGAATTTCCCTTTCGTTCCGGATCTCTAATCGGTCCGCCGGGCCGGGAATGCCCTTTCTCGGCCCGTCGACGACGGATGCTAATTAAATGCCCAGCTGGACGAATGAGACCCCATGCCGGAGGAATCCCCGGGAGTCACGGTCACGTGCGGCTTCGCGAACAGCCGAGTACCTTAATTAAATGACGTGACCACCACGTCATTTAATTAAGGTACTCGGCTTCCTGCCGAATCGGACGAAGGACATAAACGCCCGTCGAGAGCGGAAGGTCAAGGAGTGGTACCCTTTTCGAGATCGACGATAAGCAGAACAAGCTCAAGACGGCAATAGAATTTCATGAAACATAATGTTTGACGTTTCTCACGGCACCGTGGCACCTTTCGACATATCCATCGCGAACTTTTCGTCCGTGTTGGTGCCACACTCGTTCCGCACTTTCATGAGATTCTATCCGAGCGTGTTGGTGGACCCATAATCCATTCGGCGAAGGAAGGACATCAAAGGCCGACCCCTCGAGGCGAAAGGGTTCGTCGAAAATAATTCCTTCCATCGACTCGAAACCGACGCGACGGACTTTATGGTCCCCCATTATATTCCTCGCTTCGCGCTCACATCTCAATCTGATCTCCCCCGTCCCTTCTTCCACCCGTGGGGGATGTGACAAAATAATCCCACCTCTGTTTCGAAAATGCGGCTGCGAGTCTAATACTCTCTTCTTCGACTCTTCTCGCAGGCTCAGGCCCCAGCGCTTCGTGAAGGCCCCGCCATGGACACGGGCAATGGAGTTCCCCCATGGGGTCCTCATGGACGAGGTCCTCGTGGGCGACGTCTTCGTGGACGAGGTTCACATGACCGGGGTCCACTTGGACGGGGCTGGGGGCGGCGCGCATCGGTCGCTGCTGACAGGATTCTCGCTTTCGGGAGATTTTTTTTTCTCAGAGAAACTGCTAATAGGGGAATGGAGAATCTACGAGTGGAAGGCACTTTCACTCCTAAAGAATGTCTTAGGTGACGCGCATCTTGCCTCGTACCATTTTCACGTTATGCAGAGATTTGAGCATCGATTCGAAAGAAGTTTCAGAACCCCTGGGGCCACAGATGCCATCAACCCGATACGTCGCTTCGGCCCACTTCAAGCCCACCGATATGTCTCTATCGTGCAATTGCTCCCACGTTCTCCCTGGTGCTAGGCGTCGGAACGCGGAACCTTGCGCATTGAAACCGCAGACGCATTACGGTAAGAATCCTAAGGGCCTGAGAGGCCTTCGCCTCGCCGTCCAAGGGCGAGGCGAAGGCCTCTCAGGGACGAAACCGGAATCTGAATGTCAAATGCTGTTATCGAGAACTATTCTGACTTCGGTCTTCCCTCGGCACGGAAAACTGCAGCAAAAATTCCAAGACAAGGACGAACGAGCAGCTTGCGCAACGGACGGAGAAACCTTGACCTTGAGCGGAAAGTGAGAGATCATCTGATCCCATACATTTTGGGATGCAGGAATCTCAAGGTCTGCATCGCATTTCATTATGGTACGGTGCATGTAAAATTTGACTTAAAAAAAAATAGCAATCTAAACTCTTAAGCATTCCACTCGTCCACGCAAAAGATGTCGTGGAAGCACAAAGAAGATGAGATGAAGATGGAGATGCTTCCTACCCGTAACATGTACTGTACGTAGTACTGCAACTAAACTACTACTGCTAAACTACTGCGACTGCTCTTAAAAAGTGAAGAACTTCCTCCAGCCGAAATACTAACACATATAATATTTTTTATTTTACTGTCCCCAAAGGGAGGTTTGCTTGGTACCAGAAGTAACCTGCGTCCGTTTTTCCTTCTCTCAACGTTTCCTTCATGGAAGCTCGCGAATCCCCAGAAATCGTGGAAATTTTCGCAAGAAACTCCCCAAGAGTCAACTTTTGGCTTGCCGGAGCAAAACGGCAGCGCAATGTATCACACGGTATCACGTCGTGAGCACGTCGCATCGCACTTCTGGAGACGAATTTCGGGAGATTTCACGGTGCACCTCACACCGAGATAATCATTTACAAAAATGCCGGGACGAGAGGGATTATCTGGGCAGTCTCCTTTGCTCGGAATGAGTTTTTATTATTATTATTTTTTTTTTTTCGCGAGATCCTGGCCGCAGATTCGTGGCGCAAAGCGTCACAAATCAGACAATGGTATCTTTGAGCCAACAGAGATTTCATATCTCTTCGCAGTACAGCAGCCAAGAAACTGAGAAAACTTAAATGTTTTATCCTGGGCATCGTAATAGAGTAAAGATTTCCATTAAAATAACAATAAACTAAAAAATAAAAAATAAAGAATACAGGCATAAATCCGGAGCACTTGCCAGCACACGAACAGAAAAAAAGAGTGCAATGGTTTAATTCTCTTTTCGAGAGTTTTTAATTTTCGCAGCTGCATCAGCTTAAAGTATTCATTTATAGATTTTGCTCCGGTTCGACAGAAGAGAAACTTCCCAGTTTGAGTCAAAACGGATGCGGGGGAAACGTCCAGCGAAATCGCAGGGTGCAATTAAAACGTTCTCAATGATCTGAAATTCTGCCTCAGTCCCGATGAATGGGAGCACGGCGGAATCAGACCATGAAATGGGCCACAATCGTCACGATTGTTCTTTTTTTTCCTCTCCTGCTGTCCACTTCGAAGCTCTCATCGGCAGGATACCGTTGGTAAAGTTACCCTTCGGATCAGAGTGCACCTAGCTGGTGTCCACTGGTGCACCGAGGTGCGCTGGCTTTTTTGATTAGAGAAAAACAAATTTACCGCCTTACTAGTATAGGAATGAAGCTGCGTCAGAGGGATCGAGATGACCGGAGGAATATTCTGGACTTGGATTTGGCCCGTGACGGGATTCGGACCCACGGGGACGGGACTCCCCGCTATCCTCGTGATCCCCGGCCTCACGAAGACATCGAACTCCACGAATTGGGAGTAGAGGATGATGAAGACGATCTGGATGCCGAGCAGGACGGCTGCAGGGATCAGGGTCTGGGCTCTCCCCATCGTTGAAGGTTTCTTCCAGAGACGACGATGTTGCCACGAGCACGGTCCACCGCTAACTACCCTGTCTCCTTCAATGGACTGCATACAATAAGGCGATATCTATCGGATTTCATTTGAATCGTAGATGGCGAGGTTTCTCTTTTTTCTCTCTCTCGTCTCTGTCCCTGTCTCTTTGCCGTGCTGGGTTGCATCAAAGACAGGCGAGCTGGGGGCTGGGCTTGGAGGGACGGGCAGACGCGTCAATCGCGGCCGCCTTCGGGACGGAGCCTTCTCTCAAGACTTCTGTCTTCGTTTTTCCTCTTCTTGAAGGTGATCTTTGGCATCACCGATATCTTTGTCATTAGCTTTTCCTTCTCTCATATTCGGACAAATATGGCTTGTTTTTCTCGCTGAGAGTTTGCGGCACTGAAGTGCTGCAAGATCAGATTGAGAAAGTAACCATATGTGTCGTATATGAAAATACCTCCCACCCAACCCCCCCCCCCCCCCCCCCCCATCTCCACCCATCGCCCCCAACCCCATCTCCACCTACCCAAAGTCTGTTCATAGCCGAACCGAAACCTGCTTCCCTGAATTATGAACGTAGGCAAAGAATATTTCTATAGATAGAAGTGCTTCCGAACGAGCGATGCCCTGCAATTTCCATCGTTTTATTCTCGACGAAAACGAAAAATCAGTAATATGTTACTTGAATAATTGGTGGCTATCCACCCTTAAACATTAAAAACATGGATAATAATGAGCCACATCCCAGCATGAATGTGTCTCAACGTCGCCAAGTCGAATGTCTTTAATAATCTCATATGCATAAGTATGTAGAAATGAATAATTATGAAGCTACCACCCGGGTGGCTTTTTGCATTTGATCTCGGGTGGCTTTTTTTCGCTTTTGTCATTTCTTGGGGGTCTTTTTTCCTGGTGGCTTCCCCCCCCCCCCTCCACCCCTCCATCCCTGGGGGATGTTCGAAATCATTTTTCACTTTTCTCATTTTTTAGTATTATGTTGCTTATGCATCACTTGGAGGTGATTTCGATGCAATCAAATTTCCCTATGTACTCTATCCTGAAAGATACCGACGCGTTCGATGAGAACATCAAAGCAAAGGATACCCTTAGAATGAGATTTTAGAGTGAGGTCCTCCGTCCCCTTTCTGCAGCGACCGGACTTTCCCCTTCTTTTTCTCGTCCAGCCATTAGAGACCATTCAAGGGGCAGATGGGGTCTGCAGACGGTGCAAACTAACTCAGCAACGTTTCCGTGGAATCTTACATTCCTATCTTTCGTTTCTATTTCGGTAATAAAATTAAGGGCTGAAACTATTTTTAAAAATAGTTGTTTATTACTCGACCCCTTCGGATTGCGCAGTTTTCCTACGATCTCAAAATGCCATCGAATGCGCGAAGTCACGCACGACGCAGGTCGGTCAGCCGATAGAGCAACTCGAGTCAGGGCGATGACGATAATTTCGACATTCGGACGGCGGTGATATGCGTCAAAACAAGTAGGGACCGAATGTAGATGGTCATGCCCATCTTCCAAATAAATCTGCTTTTGAAAACTCGAAATGGTTACAGATGGTCACAACTGCGTTCAGGATTGTGCATGTATCCAATTGTCGATTTTCGAGGTAGCAAAAACAACCTAAAAGGTCATTTTGGGGGAATGTGGCCCTAAAAAAATGAAAACCTGGTCTTAGCAGCCCATCAAGGTAGAATTTGAATTCGGCAATGTTTCGAAAATATCGATGGAAGTCTTCTCGACTCGTTCCCAGCAAGCCACACGCAAAAAAGAAACTTGGATGATGCGCATTTGGATCCTTTCCAAGTTTGTCCCAAGTGGCCCAGGAAAGTTTCCCCAACCCTATTGTTGGGAAAATATCGCCAGGCATTAGTGGTTATATGGTCGCTTCTCAAAAAACAACCCTTTTTTTTTAGACGTGTGAAATATACTCGAACACGCTGAGTATCTTGAAACAAAACAAAACGAGACTAAACAGTT